GGGACAGATCTGGGGTGGTGGTTGAGTCACTAGGACACGACCAATACCGCGTCAGGGTTGATGGGTCTGGCCGCCTCACCCTGCGCAACCGGTGCTTTCTCCGCACCTTCACCCCGGCCACCCTCGCACTCACCCAGAGAGTGCTGCGCCCCTGCCTGTGTCCAACGACGAGACACACGACTTAGGTCCTGCCAACCCGGGGTCAGCGGGACCCCTGCCATATCAGTCACTCACACCACCCAAGCCCCAAGGCACTAACCCTGGCACCACCCAGCCGGAACCTTGTCGCGACTTCATGTCGGCCAAGAATCCTCCAGACGTAGACAACAGGGACACTGCCCCAGTGGCGCGGACCCGGAACAGTGCCCATCACCTCCCTCCTCCCAGCTAGCGGGCTCCGGTCGGGTAAAGCGGCCACCCAAGCGTTATGTACCTGAAAGTGGCCAGTGGGTTAGGTCATAAGTCCACTTCGTCGGTCTGTCACACGGCTTCCTGGACTGGGGGGGGGGGGGGGGGGGGGGATGCAGAGGTCACCACTGGCCACTAGGGTGTGCTGTGATCAAACCTCGAGGGAAGAAGGTGTATTCATGGAAGTCACGTACATGTGACTGTACATACTGCTGCTTCTCATGTGTATTGCTGCTGCTCAACCACAACACTGCTGTCTATCTGTCACATCTTGTCTTGTCTCCCCATTCTGTTCAGTCATGTGTCTCTGTTAATTGCTCCCACCTGCCTCTCGTTTTCCAATCACCCAAGCTCCCAGCCCTCATGTATTTAAACCCCTTCAGTTCTGTGTCTCTTGTCGGTTCACTGTTTCAGTGTCCAGCGTGTTTATATCATTGAAACCCTTTTCCACCTTCTAGTTTGTCTGCCTGCCTGCCTTCCTCACTCGCATGTGGATCCTTGCCTCCGCTTCACTCAGCGGCATGTTGTGACAGAATGAACCGACCTCCTAAAGGATCCAGCGGGGAGGCTCTCCCCTGGGAGTGCCTGCTCCAGTTTCTTACGTCCAACCACCGGCCGGCTTCTCCTCCGGCATCGCCTCGCCGCAGACGCCGTCGCCGAACCCCGGCCACAATGATCCCCTCCACCCTCCCGGAGCCAGATGTGAGGTTGGACCAGGAGATGCAGCTAGACCGCTCCTGCTATGTGGGCACCAGACTGGCTGTGTGCTCCCCCGGAGCTGGTCCACGGCGTTGGGAAGGATGCCGGGCTCCACCGTTACCCCTTGTCCCAGGACGGAGCTGCGAGCTCGCCGCTGCCCCGGCTAGGCGCGCCAGCTTGGACCCGCCTCCAGTCAGATCAGCGGTCCCGTCTCCGGTCCAATCAGCACCTCTGTCATCTGCAGGTGGAGGGACCACGCCTACAGTCCATCTGACGGAGCTTGCCGGCCTCCAAGCGGAGCTGGGCCGAATCCGTCAACTCGTCAGCCTCCAGGAGTTCCAGCTGGACACCCTATCCTCCCCAAATCACCAGGAGAAGGTTTCGGTCCAGTCAGCAGCTTCCTCGTCTCCAGGCCAAAGGACCGAGCCCGCAGTCCATCCAACCAAGCTCGTCGGTCTCCGAGCTGAGCTGGTTCGACTCCATCAGAGCCTCAGTCTCCAGGAGCTCCAGCTGGACAATCTATCCTCCCTGCTCTCCCAGTTACCGGCGCCACCGGTTCAGTCAGCTCCAGTTCCAGCGGTGACCCAAGAGGCTCTTCCCCCGGGCCGGCCTGTCCAGATGTCAGAGCCCAGTCCGGCGGCTCCAGCCAAGGAAGCGGTCCCGTCTGCAGCAGCTCCTTCTCCACTCCAGAAGTCGACGCCTCCGGACCAGAAGTCGACAGAGGTCGATACCTCCAGCCCTGAGGTCGATGCCTCCAGCCCTGAGGTCGATGCCTCCAGCCCTGAGGTTGACGCCCCTTCGTGTCCAGAAGTCGACGCCTCCTCGTGTCCAGAAGTCGACGCCTCCTAGTGTCCAGAAGTCGACGCCTCCTAGTGTCCAGAAGTCGACGCCTCCTCGTGTCCAGAAGTCAATGCCTCTTTGTGTCCAGAAGTCTACGCCTCTTTTTGTCCAGAAGTCGACGCCTCCTCGTGTCCAGAAGTCGACGCCTCCTCGTGTCCAGAAGTCGACGCCTCTTCGTGTCCAGAAGTCGACCCCTCCACTCCAGAGGTCGACGCCCCGTCCAGTCCTGTGGTCGACCCCCCTTCCGGTCCTGTGGTCGATGCCTCTTCCGGTCCTGTGGTCGACCCCTCTTCCGGTCCTGGAGTCGACGCTTCCGGCCCTGAAGTCGACGCCTCTGGCCCTGAAGTCGACCCCTCCGGCCCTGAAGTCGACCCCTCCGGCCCTGAAGTCGACGTCCCATCCTGTCTAGCTGTTATTTTCATTAAGGAGTGTGCACGTACAGCATGCGCTCCTCGTGCGCGGGCCTACGGTTGAAGCTGCCGTTACGCTTTTGGCCTGAGGGGGCAATCGCGAGCATAAAAATTCAAAACTCCGTTAAGTCCCTTTAACATAGGGCTGGACCGGAAATCACCACAGGGTTGCAGTATAAAATCCCCAGTAATTTTCAAAATAAAAGCACTGCAATGATGCAACATCACATATATGAAGCTTACATGTGACCCAACAGCTTACTTATTCCCAGCATCGTTCCAGAAGTGTAGCGGTGTGTTTTTCATGGCTTTAATCCTTGCAGTGAAGAGGAACAACAACAACATATATAACATCAAACAGCAATACCCAAACGTGATCTACATCTTTTAGGTTTAATGGCGGATTGCATAAACAAACTGTGAACTTTGAAGTCTTGAGGAACTTTGTGATCTCGCAATTCCAGCGAAAAGCACATTGAAGAAGTCGTACTGCATCCAAGACTCCCGGTGTGAAAGGAACCACTTTAAAGTTCATGAGTAAACCATCCCACTGCCATTTCGCGCTGCTGATGCTTCCAGTGTGAAACTGGGGTTACTATCCTTTTCTGTGTTGCCTTGTTTTTCCCGAGCGGTCTAGGTCAGTCTTAGCCCTGCTCGTTGGATCAGCATGTGCAGGATATTATTTCCACAGTGAGAATCAGACTGTGCAAAAGTGCCTACTCTCATGGGGTTCCCAGCGTAGGTTCAAATCCTGCCAACAATGCCAGGTTTGTGGCAAGTACAAATGAGATAAATATGAGTTAAGAGAAAAATTAAGTTTCCAACCAAACAACATCAGCCAGCAGCCCGCTTACCCACAACTTGCTAAGGCCTTAGGTTCACAGATGCATTGGACTACTGAAGGATTTATTAACAATACAGTTTTATCAACAGCTTAATTAAAATCAAAGATTTCTTTTAAATAACACCAGGACTTGGAAGATGTGCATAATGCCAGTTGGGTCTGGAGAAAAAGGCAAAAACACACATGCAAACGGAAAACATGGAAATCAAAGAAAGAGAAACTGCCGATAACCAACTGAAAACCACATTCTAATCCATAAGATCACAATGAAACCGATGGACAAGCGGCGAGCTCCTGTCCGGGACCTCCTGACCAGGAGCTTGTCTGATCCTTCTAACAGCTACCACCTGTTGCTCAGTGAGCCGAACGCGCCATCAACTTCTCCTTGGAGCAGAACCGAGATCGACCCAGGCGGTGCAGACATCCAGAGCAAAACAAAACAGGACAAAACAGCAGCGAGTCACAGGGCACCGTCACTTGAAGTGCAGGTGGTTTTCCGGTCAGCCTACTGAAGGGAAGCAGACCCACAGGTGAGCAGATGGAAGCCGCGCAGCCCAAGCGCTCCTGACTGCAGCCGACGAACTCAACGGATCTTTGATGATCATCACTCCAGGCAGTGCCATGGCACAAGCAGCCAACAGAGCAGAGGAACAAAGACACAGAGTCAGCAATCTGTCTCCATTCATTCCATCTGCTCCACCCCTCTATCAGGTGCCAAACGTGGATCACCTGGCACACAGAGCGGGAGGGTGGAACACCATCTCACCACATTTGGGACAGACTAAGGCCCTGTCCACACGTAGCCGGGGATCTGCCAAAACGTAGATATTTTTCTACGTTTTGGCCTGTCATCCACACGAAAACGGAGTTTTTTCACACGAAAACGGATCTTTTTAAAAACTGAAGATCTGCGTTTTCTCCGTTTTGGGTGACTGCGTGTGGACGGACAAAACCGGAGTTTTAAGGTCCGCAACGTCACTTTCCACGACAAAAAATGCTGACATCACGTGTGCGACCTGTGTTTACACTAGCCGACAGCATGGAAGCCCTCAGAGCTGCGCTCTGTCACTACCCGATCCATCAATTGTCCAAGCGCTTTCTGCTTGTTTGTTTTTGCAAGCGGAATTACTGCTCCTTGCGGAAGACCACAGACGAAGGACGAGGTTAAGACCGGGGGAAGTACTGCCGCCTACAGGTCTGGCATGTCCTTAACAACGTACTTATCCGGGTACGTGTGGACAGTTTTTTTTAAAACGCGGTGGTGTGGATGCAAGTTTTTGGAGGGGCGGATATTCGTTTTTAAAAAACCCCGGCTACGTGTGGACTAGGCCTCATTCCATACAAAGCCAGATTTTTCAGTCATTTGTTATAATAGTGATGAGAATGGTTTTCAGCTTATGAGAGCCCACATTCAAACTGTCAGACAACTAAAATATTGGTTCAATACTCTAGACGCTCATCAGCTAATGAATCCAGAACACCTGAAAAGGGTTCCCGAGTCTTTAGATCAGGGTTGCCCAATCCTGGTGGGCCACTATCCAGCAGGTTTTGTGGTTTCTCTGCTCCCACACTTGATTCAGTGGTTGCACCTGTGCAGCAGCTCATCAGGCTCTGCAGAAGCCTGTTGGTCACCTGCCGATAGAAATCCATTGTCTTGGAGCAGAACCCTCCAGGACCAGGATTGGGCACCCTGCTTTAGATGTTCTCTCGCTGTGGTGGACTTCCGACATTACAGAATTTTGCAGCAGTCTTTATTTTTACTGTTTCACCTCCAATTATTAAAGAAGAACCACGTTTAGTCCAGTTTCAAGATAGATTTTATTTTCATCAGAATCATTTTAGAGAAAAGAACCATTAAAAAAGTTCTGCTTCATTTACATCAGAGGACATAAAACAGTCCAGGATTTATCTACAGGTCCGGTGCAGCTGTCAATCGTTTACAGGTTTCTACATAATCAGCGCCTGGTCCAGGACAGGTCTGGTTCTGGTCCCCTCTCAGACTGAGAAAACCAGTCCTGATCATGCTGGGGGTGTTCTGCTTCTCTTGTCCCAACTGTTCATTGTCCTGATTGGTTCTTTTGTTCCGACCAGATCTTAGCAGCTGCCTGATCTCCAGCTGTCCAGAGAAGGTGGGGTTTGTGTGGAGTCTGAACAGTCCAAATCTCAGTGATCAGACCGGGTTCTGTTTAGGACGACGTCTACTCAGAGCAGGAGGACATTTCCTCCAAACTTCTAGTTTTAGCAGAACCTGATGTAAACACAGCTGATCCTCCATATTTGTTCTGGTATTAATGAGATGCCACAGCAGGAGTGCTGACCAATAGCAGGTAGAGTTCATAAATACCCAGGAGGTGGGATGTACCTTCTCCTGCTCTGATTCTTCTGACTGCTGCAGGTATGACCCCAGCCCATTTCCCACTCCCGTAACCAAACCTAGAGAACCTCTGTTTTTTACATCCTGAGACGACATGCTCACACACCGCTCTGCGACTACCTCCAGATGTTTAACTCCTCCCATCCTGCCAAAGGAAGGAGGAAGTCAGGGCCGCTCAAAACAACTCAACACAACCCTGATCATCTGGACGTGGTTGGTTTGATGATCAACGCTACCTCTGACAGAAACAAAAAACACAGGCTTTCACACTCGGCCTGAATAAAGTGCATACTTCTGATTAACAGACAGTCCTCCGACCTGGATCCTGCAGCCGAGTCCAGAACCTCCCTGGGCTGTGATTGGTGGAGACGAGTTGGGCGCTCGGGAGAAAACCTGCTCATTTTCAGCTGAATTGGGTCATATGGCAGGTTTTACGGGTTAGGGTTCCGATCCCAGAACCCCCCCCCCCCCCCCCCCAACAAAAAAAAACTTAACCTACACACCACCACTGTCACGGACGTCAGACCAGCAGCCTCAGATCAGTGAGAGTCTGGCTTCAGGTGGCAAAGCAAGGCCAGAATTAATATATTATATAATATTAATCACAAATAATAATCAACTTTGACAAAGAAGAAAATGTCCCCAACACAGAAGAGTCTGACACACCCGGGTGGCGTCCACACGGAGACGCACATGAACCAGCACCACTCAGACCCAAACGCTACATGCAAAATGGAAAATTTATTATTTTTCTTCCCACAAAGAAAATTGAACAATAAAGAAAACAATCACTTGGGCGGGGCTAAAGGGCGGTGCCAGAGCCACAGCTCTGACTCAGAATAACCAAAGATTAGATCATTTTACCAACATTAAGCCTTTTCTGAGAAATAAAGGCGTGATGTTGTGATTCATGCAAACAGATCCTTCATTGTGCCTTCACTGTAAACCTGAAACAGCCCGAACTTTAAACCAGCAGCTTTCCCAAACGTGGCACGGCCTCCACCTGGAGTCCAGCGGCACTCCAGAGCGGTTCGTAGAAATGTTGCTGCTGAACATCAACGAGGCAAACGTGGCGTCAGACTTTTACTTCAGCTCACAATTCTTGAGGTTTCTACTTCAACAAGAACGTTTCTGAGGTTTCCTTCATGCAGCTCTGAATCAGCAGCCTTGGTTCGGATAATTATGATTATTATTATCAGTATTGCTATAATCAGCAGGTAGGTTCAATCCAATTAATCTAGGAGAGTTTTTGACGTTTCTAGTGTAGAACCGGGATAAACGTGATCATCTGTGTGACTTTAGCATCAAGCTGCCTGATTTTCAGCCCACATCAAAAACAGAGAAGGGTTAATCCAAAATTCAGCACGGTGTTAAATCCCAGAGCTTTTACTAGTGAGCGGACCGTGGACGCGCCGTGCTCGGTGTGAAAATGCTGCACAGATGAAGAGCATCAGTCAAAGGAAACAGAGAGCATCTGAACACAGCTCAGAAAGAGGAGCTCATTTCAGAAATGGCTTCCTAAAACAACGTAACGGAAAGAGTGCCTCGTTGTTCGGCTTTTCAGTAGGAATCCGTTCTACCCACTGATGGGCTAGCTGCGTGTGCTGGATGGATAAAGGACAGATGGAGGACACCTGGACAAAGCAGCTTCCTATCTCCCACTCTGGTCCAGCTCCTGGTCTTTAAGCTGCGCCTCCTCTTCCTCCTCCTCTGTGGCCTCCACGTGCGTGTTGGCCAGCTCCAGCGTCCCCTGCACATGCGGTGCCCCCTCAGCAGGATGTGGAGTTTCAGGTGCAGGTAGAGGAGCAGACAGGTGGCCCTGTGAGATCACTGTGGTGTCCTCAGCTGGACTGCTGGAGCCACTTTCACTCATCGGGTCGGAGCTCACAGATGAGTGCTGGAACAGCTTCTGACCTGTGGCACAAGAGGAGAGAGACGCTCATCAGCAGGAGTCGACAGACTCGACAACGTCCACTAATCCGTCTCTCGTTACAGTGAAACAGGGAACCTGCAGCTGGGTGCCGGAGTTCTGAGTAAAAAGCTGAGGAATGACAGGATGACCAGTGAATCCCCTGATCCTGAGACGGTTTCAAGTTTGGATTGATCAGAACCATGTGTCTGTATGGGAGCGACCCTTAGCTGACTGTTCTACACCTGCGGACAGGTGTGTGATTTAGACCGTACAGGCAGCAAATAACAGCACGGCTAAAGAAAACCAACAAGAACCGATCTGGTCCTCATCGGGCCTAAAATCACAAACAAGCTCAGGTAAACGACAACAAACAGGTTTTCAAACCTTCAGCTGTCATCAGTTCACCTCAGCAGTCACACTGCGGGTCTGGTTCTGGTCTTGAGTGATCGGACCACTGCGGGACCCCGGTCTAGGTGGCCCACCTAACCATATTTGGCCGGTAAGTTTATAAACCAGGCCTGTGGGGAAACAGAACAAATCCCAGAATACACTGGGCCGAGTCCAGCTTGTGCTGCAGGTTCATCGCAGCAAGTCTGAACCGAGCTGAGCCGTCAGTTCTCTTGGAGAGACGAGCTCGTCTCCTGCGGGCGTTCAAAAGCCAAACTTGTTCCTAGCGGTTGGGTCGCATGCTTTAACCTGCTAATGGAGGCCTGCAGGGATTGAGGTCAGGCTCTTGGGCTTTTTTCATTCCTGTGAGATCTTCACAGTCCCATCTGGACCCAGGAGCTTCAGACAGGACTGTGTGGAATGCTGAACAGTTGCTTCTCTGAGGGAACTGCTGATGGCTCCCCTCCTGCACTCATTTCCTGTTAAGAATGATTTTAGGAGAAAAATATCTTGAGGAGGGAAACAAATGATCATAAAGAAAATCCCAGTGGAACAAAAACGGTCCCAAGAGAACGTGAGAACCACTAGCACTGCTATGCTCGCCTCTGTCAGCGCGCCCCAGGGCAGCTGTGGCTACATCGTAGCCCATCACCATCAGTGTGTGAATGTGTGTGTGAATGGATGAAAGATACACTGTAGTGTAAAGCGCTTTGGAGTCCTTACTCTGAGAGGCACTATACAAGTGCGGGTCATTCATCATTTCATTTGTTCAGTTTTAAAAGCATTCTTTTGTTTTGGGTAAACTGGGACAGAACCGGGCTGACCCACCTGTTGCTCTTTTGGATCCAAGCGTAGGGGTGTCCTGCAGAGCCGCTCTGTCAGCCTGTGCCTTGGTGGAATAAGTCACATCTGTGGAATCCAGGGAGCCTAAGGACACATGTTAACCTTTACATGTATGTTATAAAGTGACAAACCATCAACTTTAAAAGGTCCATCCATCCATTTTCTTCTGCTTATCCGGAGTCGGGTCGCGGGGGCAGTAGCCTAAGTCGAGAGGCCCAGACTTCCCTCTCCCCAGCCACTTGGGCCAGCTCCTCCGGGGGAATCCCAAGGTGTTCCCTGGCCAGGTGAGAGACATAGTCCCTCCACCGTGTCCTGGGTCTTCCTTTAGGTCTCCTCCCGGTTGGACGTGCCCGGAAAACCTCACCAGGGAGGCATCCTGACCAGATGCCCGAGCCACCTCAACTGGCTCCTCTCGATGTGGAGGAGCAGCGGGTCTACTCCGAGCCCCTCCTGGATGACCGAGCTTCTTACGCTATCTCTAAGGGAGAGCCCAGCCACTCTTCGGAGAAAACTCATTTCGGCCGCTTGTATCCGCGATCTCGTTCTTTCGGTCACTACCCAAAGCTCATGACCATAGGTGAGGGTAGGAACGTAGATCGACCGGTAAATCGAGAGCTTTGCCTTCTGACTCAGCTCTCTCTTCACCACGACAGACCGGTACAACGCCCGCATCACTGCAGATGCAGCACCAATCCGCCTATCGATCTCACGCTCCAGTTTTCCCTCACTCGTGAACAAGACCCCGAGATACTTAAACTCCTCCACTTGGGGCAGGGTTCCCTCTCCTTCTAACCCAATTTCTTTTCGATTGAATTCACTTATAAGATGCTGCAGCAAATGGATGACAGCATAGCAGACGACAGTACCTGCTGCCAGGTTGAAGGTCCTCCCCTTTATGGAGCTTTGAACTGGAGAGAACCAGTTTAACACAGACCCAACCAGAGGAATCTGTCTGAGCATCCCCTACAACACCAACATGCACATTCATTAGTTCATATGCGAGACAGCGCACAACACACACACACACGCACGCACACACACACCTCCTCCATGAGCTTCTCCTCACTGGCCTTCTGCAGCTGCAGCTCTGCCTCCTGGATGCCTTTTCTCACCCGCTCCGTCATGTTCTCCAGCAGCTACAAGGAACACAACAACAGCTGTTTAGACCTTCCTCCTTCACGGCTCACAGGAGCACGTAAGCTGTTAAAAACACCACCACAACTTTGTTAAAGGTTCCATATCATGCCATTTTAAACTGTTGAGAGCAAAGATAGGCACAGTACATGATAAAATATTAAAAATGGCACTACTGAGAGGTCATTGTTTCTAATTGGTGCTCGTCAGACACGTGACCTGCATGTCAACCACACCCCCATAGCACCATTTGAGGCGTATGACTTTCGTTGCTAGGGGAAGCTGCAGCTGAATTTGAAGCTTAAAGCTCCGCCCATGCCCGCTCCGACAAAATGCACCTACAACAGCGTCTGAAGGTTGGTTTATGCTTGACGTGTCCGCGAGGTCCGCGCGGCAAAATTGCGTCATTTTAACAACCACGCCCCTCCACAGCGCCTCCGCACAGCCCAAACTTTCCGCACCGCACACCTAGGAAATTTTCTAACCACGCAGACGGTCAGACGCAGAAAAACATGGCGGACCTGCAAGAACTAGTATGGCAGAGGTTCGTAAATACAGACATTTGTATGATTCAGCTCTCAAGAGATCACCGTGATCAACATGTTGTTAATAATTCTTGGAGAGAAATAACTCGCACTGTCGGAAAAGACGAGGACGCTGTTAAAAATGCTGGAAAAACATGAGGGACCGATATGTGAAGGAAAGGAGGGGGAACAAACGGAAAAGCGGTGATCCTGGTGGAAACAAGAACACTCCACCAATTCTAAAAGAGCTGAGTTGGCTCTCAACTTTCATTAACAACTGTTATAAACAACAGTAATTTCTACTTCTACTATGGTGTAGTGTTGGATGCATGCCGTAGAGCTCCATGCTGCCCCCTACAGTTTAGGAGAATATTGGCCCACCGCAGAGATAAGCCGCATGAACCATAAACGCTGCAAGTTGTGAAGCGCGTTCCATCCGCGAGCCGCATCACCAAGCGGAAAATAAACGCGTCAAGCATAAACCAAGCTTGAGGCAGGTCTGCTGTTGCGTTGGGACTTGGTAGTCCAGCGGTAAAGGTGCCAGTACGACTCCCGGTGTCAGCAGTAATTTATTTAGCTAGCTGAAGCTGATCTCATGTTTTATATTTTAGTTTTATTATTTTCTGCAAAATTTGTGTCTCTAAACATCTTGAATTTGGACAGGCCTGCCACTAGGCTGCGTTCACACAGCAGGTCCTGATGCTCTTGTTGAGTAGCTGTTCACATTACGACTGAAATGCAACATCGATCTTCCGTGGGAACGGTCCTGAAGTGACCCGCATGCTCAGAAAACAAGAAGTCACACTCTGGAGTCAGAACCAGGAGAGGCGGAGTTGTGACATGAAAGCCTTTACTGATAACTCTCATCAAGTCTGCCGTTTTGGGCTGGAAACAGTTTTAAAAACTCTAAACTATTTTACTCCTTATTACCGCTGTTTTCTCGATTTATTATTCACCGAAAATGTTCCGGGCCCAAGTTCGCTAACGCTCCGGTCCCAAGTTCCTTAACGCTCCGGTCCCAAGTTCCTTAACGCTCCGGTCCCAAGTTCCTTAACGCTCCGGTCCCAAGTTCCTTAACGCTCCGGTCCCAAGTTCCTTAACACTCCGGTCCCAAGTTCCTTAACGCTCCGGTCCCAAGTTCCTTAACGCTCCGGTCCCAAGTTCCTTAACGCTCCGGTCCCAAGTTCGTTAACGCTCCGGTCCAAAGTTCGTTAACGCTCCGGTCCAAAGTTCGTTAACGCTCCGGTCCAAAGTTCGTTAACGCTCCGGTCCAAAGTTCGTTAACGCTCCGGTCCAAAGTTCGTTAACGCTCCGGTCCAAAGTTCGTTAACGCTCCGGTCCAAAGTTCGTTAACGCTCCGGTCCAAAGTTCGTTAACGCTCCGGTCCAAAGTTCGTTAACGCTCCGGTCCAAAGTTCGTTAACGCTCCGGTCCAAAGTTCGTTAACGCTCCGGTCCAAAGTTCGTTAACGCTCCGGTCCAAAGTTCGTTAACGCTCCGGTCCAAAGTTCGTTAACGCTCCGGTCCAAAGTTCGTTAACGCTCCGGTCCAAAGTTCGTTAACGCTCCGGTCCAAAGTTCGTTAACGCTCCGGTCCAAAGTTCGTTAACGCTCCGGTCCAAAGTTCGTTAACGCTCCGGTCCAAAGTTCGTTAACGCTCCGGTCCAAAGTTCGTTAACGCTCCGGTCCAAAGTTCGTTAACGCTCCGGTCCAAAGTTCGTTAACGCTCCGGTCCCAAGTTCGTTAACGTTCCGGTCCCAAGTTCGTTAACGTTCCGGTCCCAAGTTCGTTAACGTTCCGGTCCCAAGTTCGTTAACGTTCCGGTCCCAAGTTCGTTAATGTTCCGGTCCCAAGTTCGTTAATGTTCCGGTCCAATGTTCGTTAATGTTCCTGTCCAATGTTCGTTAATGTTCCGGTCCAAAGTTCGTTAATGTTCCGGTCCCAAGTTCGTTAATGTTCCGGTCCCAAGTTCGTTAATGTTCCGGTCCCAAGTTCGTTAATGTTCCGGTCCCAAGTTCGTTAATGTTCCGGTCCCAAGTTTGTTAATGTTCTCGTCCAAAGTTCGTTAATGTTCTCGTCCAAAGTTCGTTAATGTTCTCGTCCAAAGTTCGTTAATGTTCCCGTCCAAAGTTCGTTAATGTTCCGGTCCCAAGTTCGTTAATGTTCCGGTCCTAAATTCATTAGTGTTCCGGTTGTAAGCTCATTAGTGTTCCGGTTCTAAATTCATTAAAGGGACATTATTGACTTTTCAATTTTTATGCTCGCGATTGCCCCCTCAGGCCAAAAGGGTAACGGCAGCTTCAATAGTAGGCTTCGTGCACGAGGCGCTCATGCTGTACGTGCACAATCCTTAACGAAAATAACAGCTGAGAAATTCCTGTGTGTGTGTGTGGCCCGGAGGACAGAGGACAGGAGAACGCGCAGCTAATTAATTAAATCCTTTGGTTCTGTACCTTTCTCTTCAGCACAGCCGACAAAGGTTAATGATGGGTCAGTCCTCCTGCATGCTCAGATCGTTCCCTTCCCTTGCTTGAAAAATTGTTCCAAAATGAAAGTTGAACCCACATCTTTTTTATCTGTGAATTCAATGCCGTTCGGCGAGTCTCAAATAAAAAGGTGGGCATCTTACTGTAAAAAATATACCATTAATGTAAAAAATAAACTAAACGAACTATGTTCACACCCGGAATCAAACCCAGGTCTTCTGCATGGGAGTCAGACATCTTACTAGGTGAGCTAAAGCACTAGTGACATCTTTAGTATCTGTAACATTTATATCCTTGATGACAGCTGAAACAACGTAAAACCAAAGAACGGTTCAAAGCGAAAATGGCTATTTTGTTGCTAATTTGCAGGAAATATCTAGAAGAAAGTTCTACAGAAAGTAGCTAAGCATCCTCAGAAATGTAGCTAGCATTGTTACTAGGCGTTAGGAACAGCGACAAAGTGGCACTGCCTCTATCTCTGCTGCTAAAGCTACTGATAGCAAATGCTACGGGCTATGCCTGAGCGTGAACGCGCATGAAGCAGCCTGCTCGACCCGAGCATCTCTCTTTTTCTGTGATTTTACAGAAAAACAGGCAATCACAGTAAAAATGCCAGGGCTCATTCTACAGGACCAGGGCATTGCAGGAGAATGTATGAAGAAGACATTTATTATTTCTATACATGTTTGGCTGTCAAACTTCCATAATGTCCCTTTAATGTTCCAGTTCTAAGTTCATTAACTAAATTACGTGGCAAAAATGTGGATTTTCCATGATATGGCCCCTTTAAAAGCTTAACTGAAAAAAGTAAATTAATGACTTTTTTCTGATTATAACCATCACTCTGAGTTTTTCATGCAGGCTGAACATGAAAATAGTCTCCTACACTGATCTCCTGCATTAGCTTCTGGTAGAAAACAGATGGTAAAACTCTAGGATTAGAAAATCCTGACAGATCTACGTCACACTGTCACTAACATTCATGGACTCCATCTTGACTCTCGACGGGAAAGACTGTTGTTGATTTAGCGTCCAGGAAACAGCAGAGAAAATCTCTGCTAGTAGAAGCTAACTGTTAGCTAGTCAGTGGTAGAGTTGTGTTACTGTTAGCCAATCAGAGAAGAGATGTCAGAATAGTCAGGAAGTAAGACACCAGGGGCCTCATTTATGAAGCTTGCTTACGCACAAAACGGGGTCGGAAAACTGTGTAAGCAACTTTCCACACAAACTTTGCGATTTATGAAAGAAAACTTAGCGGAAAATGTTCTCAACTTTAAGTTGACTAAGGACCTGGCTTACGCACATGTTGGACATGGAGAGCACCTGCAGTGCTGCTGCTGAGAAGGATAACATTATGAAATCCTGCAGCATTATCACTTTTAACACACACACACACACACACACACACACACACACACACACACACACACACACACACACACACACACACACACACACACACACACACACACACACACACACACACACACACACACACACACACACACACACACACACACACACACACACGAAGCGCAGAATACGGAATGCAGAATATCAGCAGGGGGACAGATTTGAGACAGAATGTCATGTGTCTGTGACAGTGTGTGTGTCCTGTCACTGTGACCCGATTGATCATGCGCCCTGGCTACTTGTACTGGGGAGATCTCTGTTTGGCTGACAGGTCAGTGCGTGTGACTTTCATCTGGGATTCTGGGGATCGAATCACAATCAGACCATTTTTTTATATCCGCCACAGATCTCTCTGAAGAACCCAACATTGACGGCTTCAGCAACGCTGTGCCACTCCGTGGATTTTCTCTTATTTGTTTTGCAAAAGCACTTCCTTTCATTTCTCCACCTCACCCACAATTACCTCAATTTCTGCTTGTGTGAAATTGCGCTTCCTTGATCTACGGTTGTGATCGGAATGGTGCAACAGCCGGCTTATGTATAGGCATGAGGTCCACAAGGCACTTTGCATTGACTATTTATGGCAGTAAGTGGGCATGGTGAGGGCGGGATGTGACTAAAGAGCAGCTGAGAAACATCCTCGTTAGTCTCCGATTTATGAAGCGGAGACTGCGTGCAGCTGTGTGTACTCCATGTTTGATAGATCACAAACCTACTTGGTGTAAGTACTTTTTTTTGCTGAGCTTAAGTACGGTTTTAGTAAGGATTCTACCAATGTTTGATAAATGAGACCCCTGATCTTGTTGTCTGAAGCTACGTTTGCCTCCAGCTTCAGCTGAAACAGGTGAGCTCCCCCCTCAGCTCCTTGGGACTTTATGTGACCTTTTAAAGTCAAACCAAGTCAACTTTATTTATAAAGCACTTTACAACAGCATAAACGCTGACCAAAGTGCTTAACAAGCCAAAAAGAACAGAAGTTTCCTAAAATTCTAAAAATAAGATAAAAGTACATCAAAAAGTAAAAAAACAAACAAACAAAAAAACATGACAAAACAAACATATCAAACTGGCATAAAAGCTACTAAAAAAAATCAGCATTTCTCTTAAAGGTCTTTAGTCTTATTCATTTTTACTGGTTTGTGAGATGTAATCTTAACGCACCCAGTAATATTTAAAATAACATTACAACAAAAAAACTGAATCCAAAGACCTCAAACTATATTGTAGGAGTTGAGAGGTACCTTTCCACTCTCCTCTATCTCCCTCCCCAGGGAGGCTATGGTATCTGCCAGCTCTGACACATCAACATCCTCCGTTACCATGCCCACAAAGATGCAGCTGTCCTCTGTCACAAACTCTGAGCCTGACGGGGTAGAGAGAAAGAACAGAGCAGGTTAGTGTGAATTACTACACCGAAGCCCAGGTGTGGGGAGGAAACCACCTGTGGAGAAGACGACATCAGTGTCAAACTCTTGAAGTTTCTTCAGCAGATTATTGTTAATTTTCTCCACCTCCTGCTTCCTCCTGCTCTCATCCATGCCTTCAGCCAGCTGGGGCTCGTACCTGGAGATCAACATGTGGTTTAGTGTTACAGCTGCATGTAGGGGTCTTTCCAAATCACAATGAAATACTCTGCACTTCCTAATGTCAAGTGATGACCTCCTCAAAGCCTAAATGCAGAGTAAATAGATGAAGGTCACGCAGCTCCTGCCTTACGAAGCCTTACAGTGGCTTCAGAAGCATATTTAATTCTATTCAGTTTATTTATAAAGCGCCAAATCACGACAAGAGTCGTCTCACGGACCTTCACACAGTAAACATTCCAATACAGGTCAGTTCGTTAAGCCAATCAGTAACAAGTTTCCTATATAAGGAACCCAGCAGGTTGCATCGAGTCACTGACTCGTGTCAGAGTCTTTACAGCAATCCTCATACTAAGCAAGCATGCGGCGACAGTGGAGAGGAAAACTATTTGAAATTCTAACATCTGACCAGTCTTCCAACAGTCCAAGGGCCTCAATCATCAAATGTCCATAGAAATATTACTAAATTCGTTCCTATGAATGAAATTTAGAATGTTTGTACAAACGGTCAAAAACCTGACTTATGAAATGCGCGGTGGCCTCACGTATGCAAGTTCCTCCACATCTGTCTGATGATAGATCCCACCTGTGCGTACCCAGGTGCTCGTGTCCGTTCTTGGTCCTTTACATACAGAAACACCCTCAATTAACCATATTTGGTCATGCTACATCCTCAACACATGAGAGGATTCCCTGCATTCTACCCGGAAAAAAGAAAACTTGCGAGATCGAGACATTTTCTGCCGAAGTGCAAAATAACCAAACAAGTTTGGTTACGCGGTCGAGACAGAGGAGAGGTTCCTGTCAGGAATGAACAAATAAAAACTTTGATATGATAAATGGTAGTGTAAATGGTAGTCATTTACATTTTACATTTTAGGAGTTGTTCTGGATGCAATAGGCCTTTCCATGTCCTAACGTTGTCGGATTCAGGGTCCTGTCTACACTGGGACAGGTCGAGTCCCATCCATCAGGATCTGGGAACGTGTCCGGGTCCAACTGGGTAGAGCAAGAGGCTCTGATTGGTCAGGGTCTCATTTCTGCTATTTGCAGATGTGAGGTAGCCCAGAATCTAGACCATCATTCTCGAAGAAAGACAGACATATATCCACATATAGAGGATGGCTTGCCATGCTATGCTAGAGGCATAAAGCCTACCCTCACCTAGGATGGCTCACTACTGAGTGAAGAAGGAATGAGAGTAAGCACCGAGGAATCGGAGGCCAGGATTCTGGACTGGGAAGAGGTGGGAAGCTGGGTTGAAGCAGAGTCTCTGCCTCTAGTGGAGCAGTTTAAGCATCCTAGAGTTTTGCTCTTGAGGGATTATAGGATGCAGAAAACTGAACGGACATTTCACAGGTTTATCTGCAGGAATGAGGGTCTGCTCATAAAAACTGTCCAATTATGCGTCCTACGGAGGGAAATTAGAATGATCGTATGAATGGCCTGATTCCAGAAACATGCACTGGCCACTCGTACGCATGACCTATAAATGATGGATAGATTTGTTTCAGTGGGAAGAGCGGTGGCCTGGACACCAAAAGGTTGCTGGTTTGAGTCCAGCTTCCCCAAGGCATGTGGAAATGTCTGACAACCTTGTGAATGCATGAGTGAAAGCGTGTATGTAACACAGAGCATTTTGATTGGTGCACACTGCTAGAAAGGCTCTAAATGCAGTACTTAGTGATTCCCCTTCTAAAGCACCAACCCTCAGCCTCGCCCAGCCTCACCGGACAGCCCCCAGACCAGGCCAGCTCAGGTTTTCTACGTAGGTTAGGGATGGTGAGTGACGGTGGGTCTCCTCCCTGAAGTCCTGTCTTAGGCTTATTGTGGAGGACATCGTGTGCACCAGCTCCATAATCTTCTCCTCCAAGTCTTCAACGTCCTTCAGCTGGGTACCCAGAGCTGATCAGAGGAAAAAGTCACAACAGTTTCTATCCATGCTCTCAAACTCCTCGTAAGGTATACCAACACAACACAGGAAGAGAAGGGTGCACCCTCGTGTTACCTGCAGCAGTGAGGAGGGGGCTGAAGCGAACACAGGTGCCTTCATCTTCAAGCTCAACAACATCAACTCCACTGGTGGGAACCAGCTGTGCCAGCTGTTCTCCCAACTGCATTTATGAAAATTAGATTAGTGAAAACTACAAAGGCAGTAGGGACAATATCAAAAGCCTTATTTCGACCAACATTTTTGGTATGCAATGGGGAGGGTTGGCTCGCTAATTTTTCTGTCCCCATTGTAAAACCCATCCAGACAACCTACCCGGACCACGACAGTCACTGCAGGTCCAGATATTTCTGGAGTGGTATGGTTAGGGCGGAGCAACAACACAGTCTACTGATTGTGGGACAGAAATACGTCACTACGTGCAACAAGCAAAACAAACTACGTTTCGTTGTTTGCATTTTCATTTGTTGAACATGAACTCACTCAGCTGCTGCACTCTGGAGTCACTTGTGGAGACTGAAGTAAGCATTTCGTTTTCGTCTTTAACTCTGCAGACCATTTATTGCTGCACAAAAATACTGAATAGTTGCAGAACCTACTTATGGAATCACGCATGATGGTTCGTTTAACCTCGCCTACCCTAACTGCGACAGAAACACCCATTCCAGTTCACACGGCCAATGGTGACCTGCTTCAAAACCGCACCAGAACCGGCAGTCAAAATGAGGCTAAAGGTTCACTGTGTAAATGGTTATTAAGTAAATATTTACAAGTTTCAGCACCAGCCACCGAAACAAATCAGTTATTGTTTCTTTTTAATCATTTTAATGACCTATGAGACCATTTCTGTCTATTTTGTTCCATTATGTGTAGTGCTTTGGTAGATTGTAATGCTGTAATAAATGCGTTATGGTATGGTATAGTACAGTAAGTACGTACATTTTATTCATATAGAACTTAAGACATAAAAATACAAAGTGCTTCACATAGTTCAAAACAAAATAAAACAAAGTCATCAAATCATCATGATCTCAAAACAAAAATAGATAAACGTCTGAAAAAATAAAGGTCATAAAATGTAAACATTTCATAAACATATTAAATATTACAAATTAGAGTTAAATAAAGGAAAACAAAATATTTAAGTGAGAGCTGCTTTAAATAAAAGGGTCTTTGGCTGTTTTTTAAAGTGTCCAGACTGTCAACGCTGCGTAAGGAAAAAAGATCATTCCAGAGTCGGGGTGCAACAGTCTGGAAGGAGCGATCACCTCAACTTTTATATCTGGTCTTTGGAACTTCTAGAAGGTTCTGGTGGGTGGACCGGAGGTCTCGGGTTGGAGCATAAGGCTTTAACAGTTCAGTAATATAGGGAGGAGCTTGACCATGTAGAGCATTGAAAGTTCTAGTCAGGATTATAAAATGAACTCTAAAGTTAACGGGTAACCAGTGCAGAGACATTAGCATAGGAGTGATGTGTGCTCTTCTGTTTGCTCCAGTTAAGCCGGGCGTACACTGTGCGACTTTTTCACTTTTTTGAGCCGATTTTCCACTCGTGCGAAAATCCACAAGATCGGGGCGAGTTTTGCGCTGAGCGTGGTGTAATGTACCGGGGGTTACGAGAGGCGATTAACACCACGTGACCAGCTACCGATCAGCAATCGTGAGCTCGCACGGACTTCTGGCGTGTTTAATATTTTGCTCGTCCCTCGTGAGGATATCGCACTGTTGAAGCGGCGCTGCGACCCAAAATGTATCAGAACCGCTCACAGCGCATGCGCAATCCTGCATCAACACCGCTCGCTCGCTGTTTCCCTAATAACACACGTTGTTCGTGTTTGTTTCTACACGTTTTTTTACTCACAAAGATTGTCAAGAAAGCGTGTTTGTCGTGTTCATGTCAAATTAAACTGATCACAAAACACAGATTTACTTTCTTTATTTTGTTTTCCTCATCCAACCCCCATAAATCCCTGTGTGTCCTCCTGCAGCTCTCCCGAAGGACAACAGGCAAAACAAGACAAAAAGTCTGACGTGTTGAGTAAAAACTGCTATTTTTAGCATATTTTTAGGGCCGACGTGTTGCTACCAGACGTACAGTGTGAGCAGTGAGGTCGCATCCGAGAACTGGGTCGTACAGTGTGAGCGCATGACTCGTGAGATCTGCCCTGCGAGGAAGTCGTACAGTTTGAGCTGAAGCGGAGTGCTACGAGTGAAAAAGTCGCACAGTGCACGCCCGGCTTTAGGAGCCTCGCTGCAGAGTTCTGGACCAACTGAAGGAGGTCAAGGTCTTTTTTATTAAAACATGTGAAGAGTGTGTTACAGTAATCTAGACGGGAGGAGATAAAGGCATGGATAAACATTTCAAGTTCATGTTTTGACATCAATCTTCACAGTTTGGAGATATTTCTTAAATGATGAACCGATCAATCATGGACCGATGTTTTTGAGTGACCTTCGAGAGACACTGATTGGTCAAAAACACCCAAATTCCTTAAGTTTGTCGTGACAGCAGAGGATAAATGACCAAGTTTTAGACTAATCAGGGGAACCATGCTCTCAGGGGCAATGAAGGAAGTTATCTTCTAGCCAGCTGGTGATAGCTGATAGACACTCTGGTCATTCAGACAGTTTATAGAACTCAGAGTCCTTAAAGGAGCAGTACAGCTGATTGTCATCTGCATACAGGTGATAAGAGACATTATGAAGAGAATCAAGTATCTGTCCAAGAGGGTGTATGTACAGCAGAAACAACAGTGGACCCAAAACAGAGCCTTGGGGTACCCCACAGAACAGATCAGTAGAATCTGACATGATTTGGTTTATACAGACACTGTAACTTCTGTTAGAAAGGTACAATCTAAACCAGTCTAGAACAGCTCCAGAGATCCCCACCGAGTCACCAAGTCTTTTGATTAAGGTGTTGTGATCAACAGTGTCAAAAGCTGCAGAAAGATCTAACAATACTAACACTGTGAATACCCTGTTGTCTGCAGCCATCATGATGTCACTGGAAACTTTAAGCAAAGCTGTTTCTGTTGAATGCTTTTTACGAAAAACAGGTTGGAATTTATCAAAACTGTTGTGTAGTTTCAGAAAAGTAATCAGTTGATTTGCCACAACTTTTTCCAACATTTTAGAGATGAAGGGTCATTTAGAAATGGGTCTGTAATTTTTAGGCTGAGATGAGTCCAAACTTGTTTTTTTAAAGTATAGGTTCAATAACTGCATGTTTGAAAACCGATGGTATAGAGCCAGACTGTGGAAATAGATTAATAAAATCTACATTGCATGGGCCAGTTTGGTCAAGCATCCTGACGAACAAGGTCGTAGGGATAATGTCAAGGGAACGGGATAATGTCAAGGGAACGTGAGGTTGGTTTCGCGTGTTTCTGAATGAGGCAAATGTCCTGGAAATCTACAGGAGTAAAGACAGACCAAGATTGAGAGGGAGGGGGTTGGGGGGGGGAGGGGGGGGGGGTAGGAAGTAGATGGGGGTGATATTTCTGCTTTTATTCTCAAAGAATGCTAGAAAGCTGTTACAGTCAGACCTTGAGTAAACTGGCATAAGAGGGGCGTGAGGGGAAACAATCTGGTTTATGGTGTTTAACAGGACTTTAGACTTATTTTTGTTTACAGCAATCAGCTGAGCAAAGTAAGTGGCCCTGGAAGTCTCATTCAGAGATGTTATCAGTTCTTTAAAGTGCAGCCTGTGACTTTATTTAGTTGACTTCCAACGTCTCTCGGCTCTGCAGCGTGTCCTCCTGAGACTAAACGTTTTGATTAATCCAGGGACTTTTTCTCTTGCTAGAAAAAGTCACCTGCTTAACAGGAGCTACTTTATCTAAGATAATGCAGTAATGCTTTTTCAAAGATCGGATAAACAGGCTTGGATCATCACCCTGAACTGAGCTGATGTCAGATAATCTACAAAATCCATCCACTGCTGACTGACTGATGATACGCCTCTTAGATTTTAGGTTGTGAGGGATGGTACGGTGTGGCGTGGTGCGGTATGATATGAGGTGAACATTCGAACCAACTTCACATTTTTTTCAGTATGATATAAAAATGACATACTATTAAAAAGCATGACTTGTAGGTTTTGGATTGTAGTGATCCAAATGCAACGACAGCTAAACGCAGCTGGAATCTTAAATAAGCCAGTGGTGGTGGAGGACAATGATTGTTGCATCTGAACACAATTCTGGAGGAGGTTCTTCAGATTCACCAAAGACCAGCAGTGTTCAGCGGTTCCCTTAATCATTAAACAGCAGAGGTGTGGACTCGAGTCAGACGCGAGTCATTGTTTTAATGATTTCTGACTTGCCTTGATAAAATCTATAAAGACTTACGACTTGACTCGAACTTGAACGACAATAACTTGCGACTTGAATCGACTTGCATCTGTTGACTTGAGCATATTTGATAGTTTAGCACAAAAGTGACACGACATGGACAAAAATCATGAATCAATCTTGGTTCTGGGTTTGATCTTGTTCTGCTGAATGCAGCAGCTCTTTGTTTAGAATCTAGTTCAGTTGCACTTTCTGCTGTTTGAGTAAATAAACGAAGCTTTAAGAAACTTTATTTATGGAATTTATTTATTATCATCGTCATTTAATTGAAGTTGGACAGGTGACTTGATAATCACTTGAAAATTCAAAGTTAAGGACTTGGACTTCCACATCATTGACTTTGGACTCGACTTGGACTTGACTGTCTCTGACTTGGACTTGTCTCTGACTTGGACTTGTTTGTTGTTTTTTGTTATCTGTGCATTTGAACCCCTAAAACAAACTTCTTACAGAAACAAAACACTCACCCATCTGTTAAAGGTGTCGAGTACTTCTTTCTCTCCAACGCAGAAACCATCGGTTGATCCCCCACTCGACCCTTAAAGACAAGAGATTAAGCAAATAAAATTATACAGATGTTACTGATGTCTTCTGTTGTCCATGTCCACGCTAACCTTGGCTCAGCTCTGATACACGCTGCCTGATTCCTACAGACAACCTGCCACATGTATGAATAAATAACCCCTTTAGGTCTAGCGCCGTTACCATCCCATATTCAAACTGTGACAGATCAGTAAATCCTACACACAAGGCAGCCATTTTCTGGTATCCAGCAGGTTTTGTGGTTTTTCTGCTCCAACTGACCTGTGCAGCAGCTCATCAGGCTCTGCAGAAGCCCGTTAATCACCTGCTGATAGAAATCAGGTGTTTTGAAGCAGAGTTAAAACTAAAACATGGATACCGGCTCTCCAGGACCAGGATTGGGCATCTCTCCTTCAGCCTTATCGCTGCCTCTCCCAACTCCAACCAGGCCCATCATCCTAGATAGCTTTGCTCCTGTTTCTGTGCCTAAGTTAACCAAACTAGTTAACTCTATGAAGACCTCTGCATGCCCCCTCCACATCTTACCCTCATCTTTGTTTAAAAGTGCTTTTCAGTCCATCGGTCCCAGCGTGCTCTCTATAATTAATGCTTCTCTGGTCTCTGGTCAGGTCCCTGCTTACTTTAAAGAGCAAGTCACCACCAAATCATTTTTTTACTGATGAACTATGTATACACATGAGTGTAATTGTGCTGAAGACACATGTAGTCAATAATTTGGCACTTTAGTGCATCTTAGTTAAAATGTACAAATTCTGCCTAAAACTGTCAGTGTTGCTCCCTCTTCAGGTAAAAACTCTGCACTGCATCTGAATTTTTTTCTGCCATCGCTATTGGCTAAGAGGTACACTATGATGTTAGCTGGTACATCATAATGTCACAATGTTGTTGTGAGCCTGTAGCCGTTTCTTAAAACTCAAGGATGCTTGTACGTTCTTGTGTGCAAGACAAGGCAAGGACACCAGAAAGTTCATTCTACAGAGTACGGGAGGACGAGGACGGCATTTGGTACAGAACCGTACTCCATTGTGTCCTGGCAACAAGTGCTGCTTCTTGCTACGGTAAAAAAAAAACGACCCAACATAAAACTAAAAGTCTTGTTTGTTCCTTAGATAACAAAATAACAATGTGAACGTGTTATCTGCATTATATTTGGCCCCCTTTGATCAAAACTGATCAAATTCTACCATTTCCCACACTAACAAATTTTAAAAAGTTTGTTTCATCAGAACAGAGCTACACAGCTTTTATTTTGATAGTGGGTTAGCTAATTAGCATTTTTAGGGATTGTGAAGAGCAAAATGCAAACACACAGTAAAATTGGCAGGTTACACACAATTATCTCCAATAACAGACAACTTTATATTGTTTTAGTTGTATCTCTAATATAAAACATTACAGTTATTAGCTTTTCCCTCTGACGTTTGGAGTTTTAACGGTTTGTGACGCAATGCATTATGGGAAACTTTGCTGACCCAAGTCTGCAGAAGAGAAGGAAGCACAGATGCATCCTCGATACAACGGGCGGAGCAAGAAAACATCTGGGAACTTTGAGCAAAATTACCATTATGCATACTGAGGACTGGAACAGTCCTTGGGCCGTCGCTGATGACGGTTCACAAAGACGTCAGACCACAAGTTTGGACAAGTATAGAGTGAGAGAGAGAGTGAGTGAGACAGAGAGAGAGAGTGACAGACAGACAGAGACTGAGTGTGTGTGTGTGTGTGTGTGTGTGTGTGTGTGTGTGTGTGTGTGTGTGTGTGTGTTTACCAGCACTCATTTCCTGGACAAACTTAAAAAGAACAACAGGAGAGTTTTCTTCATCTTCTACCTGTTTAACACATAAAAACACATAGTAGAGATTTTAGTATAATAGATCATTATAGATTCAATAACCACGGGTCTCATTTATCAAACATTGCATAGAATCCTTACTAAAACCGTACTTAAGCTCAGGAAAAAAGTGTACTTACACCAAGTAGGTTTGTGATCTATCAAACATGGAGTACACACAGCTGCACGCAATCTCCACTTCATAAATCAGAGACTATCTAGAAATGTTCTCAGCTGCTTTTTAGTCACATCCCGCCCTCACCACGCCCACTTTCTGCCATAAATAGTCAGTGCAAAGTGCCCTGTGGATCTCATGCATATACATAAGCCGGCTGTTGCACCATTCCGATCACAACCGCAGATCAAGGAAGCGCTAATTCACACAAGCAGAAATTGAGGTACTTGTGGGTGAGGTGGAGAAATGAAAGGAAGTGCTTTTGCAAAACTAATAAGAGAAAATCCACGGAGTGGCACAGCGTTGCTGAAGCCGTCAATGCTGAGTTCTTCAGAGAGATCTGTGGCGGATATAAAAAAAATGGTCCGATTGTGATTCGATCCCTAGACTCCCGGGTGAAAGTCGCACGCGCTAACCAGTCAGCCAAACAGAGATCTCCCCTGTCCAAGTAGCCAGGGCGCATGATCAATCGGGTCACAGTGACAGGACACACACCGTCACAGACACATGACATTCTGTCTCAATCTGTCCCCCTGCTGATATTCTGCATTCTGTATTCTGGCTTCAGGCTGTGTGTGTGTGTGTGTGTGTGTGTGTGTGTGGGGGGGGGGGGGGGGGGGGGGGGGGGGGTCTTGTTCTGTGTGAAAACGAAGCGGTACAAGTGATAATGCTGCAGGATTTCATACTTGTATCTTCTCAGCAGCAGCACTGCAGGAGCTCTCCATGTCCAACATGTACGTAAGCCAGGTCCTTAGTCAACTTAAAGTTGCGAACATTTTTCCGCTAAGTTTTCTTTCATAAATCCCAAAGTTTGCGTGGAAAGTTGCTTACGCAGTTTTCCAACGCCGTTTTGTGCGTAAGCAAGCTTTATAAATGAGCCCCTGATGAATGTCATTAGCTGGAAGCTGGCATTAGATGTCACATACAGTCTTGTCTGAATGGTGATGGTTCCTCAGGTTTCTGCTTCACAGCCCAAACTGTGGTGTGGACAGAAGAGCGAGCTCCCAAAGCGACTGAAGCGACACTTTTCCATCATCAAAAACAATCAGAACACGGTTTCAAAAGTAAGCAGCTCTAAATCTTTCACCAGGGTCGCTGACGCGTGGCGCCAGGCCACTGATGTCAGCACCAGGAGACACTTGTGACTTTAAGCACGGGTCAAACTGAGCGACAAAAATCCAGGAAACACCTGACTTCAGCCAGGCTGCTTGTGGTTCATGTTAGGGATGCAACAATACCACTTTTTTCCAAACCGATACGATACCGATACTTGGATCGGAGTACTCACCGATGCCGATTACCGATACCGATACTTCTACCACACAAAAAATGAAATGATTTGGAATACAGATTTTATTTTCTTCTCTGCTTTCAACAGGAAAGGACTGAGGTAGATAAAAAGTAAAATATATGAATGGAAATAATCACAAAACTAAAATATTAGGTGAACAGAAATGACAAGTTACAGTGAAGCCATTTTCAAGCAACTGCATTGGTATCTGTTAACTTTTACCGATACCGATGCTGATACTGGTATTAGTATCGGCGCCGATACCGATACCAGTATCGTATCGGTGCATCCCTAGTTCATGTTCTACTTTTAGAGGCACTGAGAGAAGAAATCAAAAGAAAATGGTTGCCCCTCAGTAATGACATCCAGGTGACAGGCTGAGGTAAGGGTTGGAATGACAGCGGATGTTTCCAGACTGCAGACATGACAGTCGTGAATCATTTTCCAGCATGTGCAGTGTTGCTCATTATGAAAACCAGAAGGAAAAACATCTCCCATTTCCTGCCAAATCACGGGTTCAGCCTTCAGCTGTGTGATGTCAGACATTTGTGTAGATAACTGTGGTTCTGTGTCTTTGGGCAAGATAAACCCCACAGTGGTCCTAAATGGGTTCCTTGCTTGTTTTTAGATTACTTGAAGGATGCAACAGCACATAACCCTCCATTACTCATGACCAGTGGTTTTCTTCATAATGTAAAACATGGTGAATATGAAGAAGCATCCCTGGAGCTTCTGGGTGATCCACATCCTATTCAGTCAGGAGGAGATGAAAGTCCATGGCTCAAGGGAAGCCCAGCACCACAGAACTGATGCAGGTGGTAGAACATGATCAGGACGGACAGAAAGGAAGAAAAGCAGCACGGGGGAGGAGGGAGCACGTCAGGGAGACAGATGGAGGTGTGGTCCCACCTACAATGGAGAGCATGAGAGAGGCCAGAATGTCCTGGAGAGAAGCCCCGGAGATGGGCCTGGCCCGAGACACCACACCCTGGAACCAAGGCCACCCACAGCAACTATAACTACAGCTACACACTGCTCCAGTCTCAGCATCACAAACTCACACATAAAGGGGTGATTCAGGGCAGCTAGATCTGACCCCAGACATGCTCACAGCACTTAGCTGGAGCGTTCCAAGACCCGAGCAAGCGCAGACATCGCGACTGGATCTCTCCGATCATCAAAGGAAACTTGGCTAACCGTCTAGCTTCAAGAAGCCCGTGAAGGTCCAGCTCTTCTGAGAGCATCTGCCACCCTACCCTGAACTTCCCTTCACTTGCTCAGCTCCACTCTCACAGCCTGAATGGTGTTCTTCCCTCTGCGTAGCTTAATGTTAGCGTCAATGCTACGTCCACATTTGTAAGTGTCTACCAAATACATGAACAAAGTCATCAAGAGCAGAATGAACAGAAAACCTACCGCAGCTTTAATGGAGGTCATGGACTTGAGCTTCAGCAGGAGAGTCTGACTCTGCAGGAGACAAAACGAAGGTCAGATATGGAGGACATGCTCTCAGATCCTCAACCCGAAAACTGAATTCATTCTTCTCATTATCAAAACAACTAGTACATGAGATGCTGCAGCAAAAATGTCAAGAATGATAAAGAAAAAAAAATATCACTGAGCATCAAAAATAAAACCAAGGTCATAAGGTACCTTCTCTAATGTGGAGTATTTGCCATCTCACTGCTCCTTAACTTATTTGGAATCATTTGTATAAATGAATGAATGAAAAAGAAAATTGCTATTCCAACATGAAAAACAATTCAAACCCATTTTGCCCCCCGATCAGAGGCATTAGACATGTATTATAACGCGCTTTGAGTGTTCTAAAATACTATAAAGGGGCTTCAAGTTTACCAAAGTTAATAATAATAATTATATATATATAATTTATTATATATATTATGTTAATAGCTATCTATCTATATCCATATCTATCTTTCCATCTATATCTATCTATCTATCTATCTATCTATCTATCTATATATATCTCTCTCTCCATCTCTATCTCCATCCATCCATCTATCCATCTATCCATCTCTCTCTCTATATATATATATATATATATCTATCTCTATCATCCATCTCTATCTGCATCTCTCTCTCTCCATCTATCTCTATCTCTATCCATCTCTATATATCTATCTATCTCTCTCTATATATCTATCTATCTCTCTCTATATATCTATCTATCATCTATCTATATCTATCATCTATCTATCATCTATCTATATATCTATCTCTCTCTCTCTATATATCTATCTATCATCTATCTATAATCTATCTATATCATCCATCTCTCTCCCTCTATCTCTCTATATATATCTATCTATCTATCTCCATCTCTCTCTCTATCTATCTATCTCTATCTATCTCTATATATCTATCAATCATCTATCTATATATCTCTTTATCTCTCTCTCTCTATCTCTATCTCTCTCTCTCTCTCTCCATCTACATCATACCTTCATTTATTAATGTTTCCGTATAAGATAATTTTCAGGCTATGTTCAGCGTTTAATTTAGAAAATTCTAAAAAAAGAAAAAAGTTAAAACAACAAATAAATAAAAATGTGGGTCAGTGGTAGAGTGGTGCTCACCAGGTCTGTGGCATGTCTGATCTTCTGAACTATTCCATTGTGACCGAGGTACTGCAGAGAGAGCCACAGAGGCAGCGCTCGCAGCTTCTCCACAGGCTGGCTGGACGTGAGACCTGCTGCCAGGGACTGGGAGGAAGAACACAAAGCATTTAGACCACAGCTGGGGGGGGGGGGGTTACGGGGGCTACAATGAATAACAAGCCTACCAGAGCTGGGTCTTCATGTCTGTACAGAGTGACGGCAGTGACCGCCGGCAGTCCAAGCCACTGACCTGGGGTCAGGGTCATGCTGTCGCTCCTGGTAGCAGCCTGGGAGAACACAAGGATGGGCGTTTATTGGCCTCTAATTACAGGCAGATATGAGCTGCTGGTTGTCCCTCTGTGGGCCTTCATCTGTCTATGGGGTTTCCTTCAGATACAAATTCAGTTTGGCCCAAATGGTCTGACATAAGTGGGAAGAAAGATCCTCCTCTAACACAGAAACTGATTATAACATTTAGTCATTTAAGACTTTCTACTACAAACATCACATAGGATAAGATAATGATAAATGACCCGCACTTGTATAGCGCCTCTCAGAGTCAGGACTCCAAAGCGCTTTACACTACAGTGTATCATTCACCCATTCACACACACACACTGATGGTGATGAGCTACGATGTAGCCACAGCTGCCCTGGGGTGCACTGACAGAGGCGAGGCTGCCGAGCACGGGCGCCACCGGTCCCTCTGACCACCACCAGTAGGCAAGGTGGGTTAAGTGTCTTGCCCAAGGACACAACAGCAGAATTCTCTGTCCGGAGCCGGGATCGAACCTGCAACCTTCTGATTACTGGACAACCCGCTCTACCTGTTGAGCTGCCCCCCCCCCCCCCACTTTGAGGTTACGCATTAATTTAGATAATTCCTTCAAGTAGATGAAATCCTTTTAAAATTGGGTTTACCGTAATGGCAGAGGTGACCTGACCCAGGGCCAGGGTTGCCAGGTTGACCCTAAAGAAGAAAACAGAACTGAATACAACATTCATGCTGAAGGAGAAGGGAAAAAGTTAAATAAAAGAAACTTGGTTTTGTTGCCAAGTTGTAGGTTGTTGGTGATAGGGTGTCCTAAATCAGAATACAGAACCAGACATGAGATTTGTGATGAATGTAGTTTAATCAGACTTAGGTCACAGGGTGACAAGAGATGACTGGACACCTCAAGACTCTGGAATAATCTGTGCAGAGAAAGTTACGGACTCTACTTTAAATGACGTGGTTTCCAGCAGCCATGGATGGTTCACTCACCCCTCGACATGAAGCCACAGGTGGTGCTGATCACACAAGTCCTTCAGACGACCCAGCTTGTCAGTGTGGCCCGCTCCAGGGGTTCCTGAACAACAAAACATGCCACTTTGGTCAGTTTAAACCTCTGAAAGACTAAAGGTCCAGGTGTGTGACAGTCCTTCACCTGCATTGGCAATCAGCAGCAATGGGAGCTTCCCAGCTTCTATGTCCTCTTTAATAAGTTTGTCCAACAGGGCAACATCCTGACAATAAACAATTTGAGTTAATTTAATTTCCCTTCTACCTGATATTCATGGACAATATTCTTTACATTAACCTACCATTTGGTGCTGAGATCCAAAGATGGTGTTGCATGGTACGGTGCATAGACTGGAGAGGGGCAAGCCGAGCTAAAAGCACAAAAACCGATGTGTACTTGAGCAGAGACAATATCAGACATTAAACATCCTTAAACAGAAGGTAGTGAAGTCCACAGAGGCCCTTGCTGAGCTAGCCCAGTCCATGTGATAAAAGTGTGTCTGAAAGGCAAAGAGACTCTTAATTCTAAATTTGTATCAGAACATAATGAAAAGAGCTGGTTCTGGTTCTGACCACATAACTCGAGAACATCGCACCGATCACCTTCATCACTGCCACCATTATTCAGCAGCCATCTTCTGAATGACCTTTTCTGATTCTTAGCACAGCGCAAAGTCATTTAGAATCATTTTATTATGATGACACCATAGACAGTGTATGGCAAAAGTATGCATACCCCATCAAATGTAACACATTCTGACACCTTACATCTAAAACTGAAATGTTTTTGAGATTTTTGTAACAGAACAACACAAAGTAGTACATAATGGTGAATGGAATGAAACTGATACATGGTCTTGAAAAAATTGGGCAAATAATAATCTGAAAAGAGTAGCGTGCAATTCAGTGCAATCAACCACCTTCAGAAGTCAGCTGATTAGGTAATACAGCTCACCTGTGTGCAATTTAGTCTCATTATGAAGACACCTCTTCTGACTAAGATGGCGGTGAGTGAACAGGACAAGTGGTTTTCTTTCAAACACTGTTAAACTCTGCATGAAACTCGACACCTAACGCTTCGCTTTAGTCCCGATGTGCGTTGTTGTCCCTAGACGGCTCAGTGGAATGCCGACAAATCCAAAGAAAAGAACGAGAACGCTCCTGCTGCTGCCCCAAAAACTTAGTTTGTCCAAAAGTTGAAGTGGTAGCAGCCAGCTGTTTCTCCTTCTTTGATATTAATCAGCTACAAACCTCCAACACCAGTGGTGTTCTGTTGCGTTATGAGTGGAGGACCCGGGGAAGTACAGCCGTTCGGCAAGACCAACGACCAGATGGTCCAATGGTTGCTTTTGGTCCAAAAGCTTTTATAGGATATTTTCAGACAAATGAGATCAAATAATCTCTTACACTTTAAACAAGAAGCTGGAGAAGGATGAGCGGAAGAAGCCACTGATGGATGGGATGACTGTGAATGAAGAACTTAGCCATCCCCCTCACAGACTTTGATTAAGAAATGAATGGTGCTTTAAACAGAATTTTACACCTTATCTCTACAAGATAAACATGGAATTTCTAAATCACACTGAATATTGTGAGCATGGTGAGGGAGCAGAACGTCTGCTCACACATCAGTTGTGTCAGAGATCAGCCTCTCAGACCATTCTTGGCATTTAAGAACGATCAAAGAATCGTTGGACAACGAAACGATCAATTCATGTTTTGGTCGATTTTACCAGTCGCTGTATTTGTCTGACTCCTCCTCTACGAGGAATGATTGGGAAGCTTTTTTCAGCGGTATAGCTATCCCCTCTGAGTGCGGATCTGGTTGAACATCTAGAAAAGGATATTTCGGTGACTGAGATTCTGTGATCGGCAGTTTGCAGAGCAGCAAATCTCCAGGGCCGGACAGCTTTCCGGCTGAGTTCTTTAAGAAATTTTCTGGATTACTCTCACAATTGCTGTTGTCTGACTTTAATAGGTCCTCTACTGCTCGGTTGCTTCTGCCAACTATGCATGGAGCTGCTATTTCTGTGCTTTTGAAAAATGATAAAAACCTTACGGATCAGTGTCCCTTCTGAATGAGGATGCTAAAATTCTTGTGAAGGTCCTGGCTGGGTGCCTCCAGATGGTTCTCCCTACAGTTGTTTCACATGTCCAGACAGGTTTGTGAAGGATCAACAAACCTTTTTTAATGTTAAACATTTAATGTGTTGTACTCCCCTGCTTCACCCAATCAAAAGGTCGATGAAGTAGTACTCTCCCTAGATGCTTAGAAAGTGTTTGATCGGGTGGAGTGAAACCACTTCTAATGGTTTTCTGTTCTTGTCTAACACACAAATAGGCAAAGTTTTACCTTATTTTGAAATTGAGTGGAACTACCTTTTTGAGACTTTGGCGAGGTTTAAATCTACGTCACACTATCACTTAACATTCATGGACTTGTCCATCTTGACTTGCCATGGACAAGGCTGTTGTAGGAAACAGCAAGGAACGTCTTGACTAGTAAGTCGAGGACTCACTGACTACAGATCTGTGGATCTGACATTTGTGGTCATGATGTCATTTCAGCACCTGGTGCTCCCCCACCTCAAGACCCTCACACCCCCCCTCCTGTACCCCTGCAGTTTACCTGCAGAGCCAACAGGTTTGTTGATGATGCCATCAACATGGCTCTACACTACATCCTACAGCATCTGGACTCCCTGAGTACCTAAGCCAGGATCCTGCTTGTGGACTTAAGCTCTGCCTTCAACACAATGCTCCCAGACCTCCTCCAAGACAAATTATCCCAGGTGAATGTGCCTGACCCCATCTGCAGGTGGATCACTAACTTCCTGATGGACAGGAAGCAACAAGGTAGGCTGGGGAAGAATGTTTCGGACCTGCAAACCATCAACACCAGTTCCCCTCAGGGTTATGTTCTCTCCCCTATTCTCCCTGTACACCAAAACCTGCCCCTCCAACCTTGAATATGTCAAGCTAATCAAGTTTGCAACTGATACCACAGTCATCGTACTCCTCTCGAAGCGGTGGGAGTCTGCCAACGGAAGGAGACTGAATGGCTGGAGTCCTGGTGCAGCCACAACACAATAGACAGCAGAGGCTGTTGTGGACTTTAGGAAGCACAGAGCCACCCCGCCCTCTAACATACACCCATCATGATGGTGGACCCATATCGCTTCCTGGGTACCACCATCACCATGGACCTCAAGTGGGAGCCCACCATTACCTCCATCATAAAAAAAGGCCCAGTAGAGGGTGTTTTTCCTGAAGCAGCTGAAGAAATTCAACTTCCCAGCACAGTCGATGAGGAAGTTCTACATTGCAATCATCAAGTCCATCCTCACCTCTTCAATCATTGTGTGGTACGCTGGAGCTACCATGAGGGACAAGAAGAGGCTGCAGCGTGTCGTGCGCTCTGTTGAAACGGTCAATGGCTGTAAACTCTCCTTCATAGAGGACCTGTACACCTCCAGGAAATTCAGGCATACAGGTCGGATCACAGCGGGCCCGTGTCACCCTGGACACATCTCTATTGGGCCATTCCCATCCGTACCGGGTCGGCCCGGGCCGGGTAGCGTAGGTTGTTTACATATCTGGGTGGCCTGGAATTTTTCCGGGCCAACCAAGGCTCATTCTCAGCCCTCTTCTGGAGGGGGTCTGCTTCAGGCCGACCAGGGCCAACACACCCACTGCTGACAGCAAATTCACACCTTCCATTAGAGCAAGCCTCTGATTGGTGGGTAGAATCAGCCCACATGGGCTTAAGGCAAGGATGTGTGGAATCAACCGGGCCAGGCTGGGGCCGACTGGGGCTACCCGGCCCGACCCGGTACAGATGGGAATGGCCCATTTGACTCGCTCCCATCTGGCAGGAGGCTCAGATCAATTCAGACCAGAACCTCTCGCCACAAGAACAGTTTCTTCCTCTCTGCAGTTGGACTCATGAATGAAAATCCTAGGACTACTCACTCCAGTCACTTTGTATTAGTCACATGACCCTGTGTTGTGTTAGTACTTGAACTGTTCTTCTCTGATCAGTATCTAAACTGTCTCATATATAGTAGCCACTCCTCTACATATTGTCACTTTGTAATATTATTTTACCCCGATTATATTCTTATTACCCATCTTTGCTTATCTCTTTGTTTTTGTTTGTTCCAAGTACAGCAACAATTCCCTAATATTGTGATTTCTTGCATATATGGCAATAAACCCTTCTAATTCTGATCCCCCTGTAGTTGGAACACATCCTGCAGTCCCACTTTTTAAACAGGGGGACAACCACCCCGGTCTGCAAATCCAGTGGAACTGCCCCGGATGTCCATGCAATATCACAGAGATTTGTCAACCAAAACAGCCCTACAACAACCAGAGCCTTTAGAAAATCCAGGAAGATCTCGGAGCCCTGACACCAACGAGTTTTTTTTAACCACCTCAGTGACCTTGGCCCTAGAGAATGAAGAGCCTAACTCAAAGTCCCTACACTCCGCTCCCTCACTAGAAGACCTGGTGGGATTGAGGAAGTCTTTGAAGTGCTCTGCCCACAAATCCCCAACGCCTCGTGTCAAGGTCAGCAGAACACTGTAACCAGTGTTGGTAGTACACTGCTTTTCCCTCCTGAAATGCTGGATGGTAGACTAGAATCTCCTCAAAGCCCTGCGGAAGTCTTATTCCATGGTCTCAAACTCCTCCCACACCAGAGTTATTGCCTCTGCAACCACCTGAGTCACATTCTGCTTGGACTGCCGGTATGCATCAGCAGCATCCAGAGTCCCGCTGGCCAGAAATACCTATTAGGACTCTTTCTTCAGCATGAAAGCATCTCTAACTGCCATTGTCCACTAGTGGGTTTTGGGGTTGCAGCCATCCTGCGGCTACAGCTACGGTGAGCCGCCTCAACAATGGAGTCATGGAACAGAGCCAACTTGGACTCAATATCCTCCGCCTCCCCCGGGACGCTTTCCGCGTTCAGTCAGAGTCGCAGATCAGATGAAATGATAACAAAATTGATCATCGAGCTGCAGCCTAAGGTATCCTGGTGCCAAGAGCACATATGGACAACTTTATGCTTAGACATGGTGTTCATTATAGACAATCTATGATAAGCACAGAAGTCAAGTAACAAAACACCAATCAGATTCAGATCAGCGGGACTGTTCCTCCCAACCACACCTCTCCAAGGTCTCACTGTCATTGCCCATGTGAGCATTAGAGTTCTCCAGGAGAATGATGGCGTCACCAGAAGGAGTGCCCTCCAGCACCCTCTCCAAGGACTCCAAAAAGGGCGGCCAGTCTAATCTGCAGTTTGGAGCATAGGCACAAACCACAGACAGGAACCCCCCCCCCCCCCCCCCCCCAACTCCGTCCGTTCTTGCGAGGGCTCTCCAGCACGCTCTCAAGGACAGACAATGGCGTTGCGTTCGTCCATCCGTCCCGACGCAGACGGAGAAGCACAAAATAGGCTTAAATGCAAATGAAAAGTAAGACTATCCTGAAAACACCATCCCCACTGTGAAACATGGTAGTTATGCTGTGGGAATCCTGTTCTTCAGTAGGGACAGGGAACCTGGTCAGAGTTGTTGAGATGATGGAGTTAAATCCAGGACAATCCTGGAAGAAAACTTGTTGGGGGCTGCAAAGAACTTGAGACTAGGAAGGAGATTCACCTTCCAGCAAGACAATGACCTTGAATGGTTTAGATCTGTAACAGAATGAAATGGCTGTTTTCCCCCTCCTCTGACAAAGAATATTCAAGTACTAGAACGACCCAGTGACGGTCCAGACCCAACTTCCACTGAGCATCTGTGGGTAGAGTAGGAAACTACTGTTCACAGATGCTCTCCATCCAATCTGGGTAAGCTTGATCTTGAACCATTTTGCAGTGAAGAATGACCCAAAATGTCAGTCTCTAGATGTGCAACGCTGGTAGAAATTAGTGCTGAACGATTTTAGGAAAAGACTGAATTTCAATTTTTCTAGCAGAAATTGTGATTTCAGTTCAATTCACGATTTTCTGCTAACAAAAGATCCAACACTAGCCTGCCAATCCATGCTGTAGATGAAATGAAATGATTTTCTAGATTCTAATCTAATACAACTAATCATTCACATTAATGTTTACTATTTAATCATACAATAAAACAGTTAAAGCTATTAATATTTTCTCCCATTATTATCTTTTTGTTTTGTTTTATGTGTTTGTGAAGCAGCTTGTGATTTTTATCTACAGAGGAGCTTTATTAGCATGGTCTACTCCAAAAATGCATGGAAGAAATCTGTAAGTAGAAAAAGCTTTTAAATGTATTAAATAACCAAATGCACACAGTTTTCCCGCATTACCGCGGCAGGAAGCCGTCTGACGTCAGCTCCGTGAGAGACGCACGCATTCTGACACCTTAGCTTGTCTGAACTAACGTGTTCCATCAGAAACATTCAAACCATTTTTTAAAAGAGAAGTTGAGCTTTCAAGTCAACTAAAGTGCGCAACTCCGCACTTGCTCTGATGAAGCATAAACCACGCCTTAGAAATCAGCCTGAACCTGTTGATGTGGGAGGAGTCTCTCTCTCCCCTACTCAACTACGTTCTCTCTCTCTCTGTCCCGGGCTGACCTACGGTGCATTATTATCGGCTCTAGCAGCGCTGTGTGTGGGAACATAAAACAGGGAAATAACCTGAACATGCAGCTCTGGCAGCTGTGGAGTTGGGCTCAGCTCTGGACGGTTCTCCGCACCCCCCTCCCCCGCGCTGGCTTTTGCCGCCGCCATAACACAGGGGGGAAACCCTGGATGAAAAATAAAGTTACAAAACTGATCCTGGATCAGTCAAAACCACTAAAACCGCAGCTTTGATGGTCACGTGATCGTGCTGTTTGAAATCGCAATTTTGGTCCAAAAACGAGAGATCGTTCAGCCCTAGTAGAGACATACTCCAAAATAGTTGCAGCTGTAATTGCAGCAAAAGGTGACACTACAAATGTGGCCGAATATAAACGCACACCACACTTTACCAGATTTTCATTTGCTTGAAGTTTTGAAAAGCATGTATGTAGCAGTCAGCGGCGCATCTGATGGTAACATCTCGATTAAGCCACAGGAAGTTAAAAGGGGAGACACACCCTTTCAGCACAATAAGGTGGTCCCAATGTCTGATTCAGCAGAGACTATTTTATGAAACATCAAAAAAAGAACTTAAGAGTGTTTAGAGATTATTGTGTGTTTTTTGACAGCGGCAGGTAGAATGCTACATCCCCACTCGTCAGATAGGCCTTGTGAGAAACTGCTTTTGCTGATTAGCACGCCCTGCCAACGGAGTGAGTTTTCCCGATGCCAAGTGCAAGGTGCACGTTCCGAAGTGTTTAACAAAAAGAGAAAAAAGTGACCAGTAAACGTTTATGAGGCTCCGGGTCTTTCTTATGGTGCCAAGGCTACTTTGTGTCAATGAAAACATCCGTTGGTGGTGTTAAGCTGTTAAAACGTTTAAAAGTTCAAGGTTTATGAACACTTTTGCACAACACCGTGAATAAACTTGGCTGAGGAGTACAGTAGGGGACCAAGGTTCAGACAATGACACAAATATTAAAGAGGACATGTTTCACCACTCTGAAGTCACATGACTTCACCCCATCCAGTCAGAAAAAGGAAGGGAAAGGAGAAGGAATCATACGTTAAAGCGCTCATTAGCTTCTGCCAGCCTTCTCCGTAAGCCTTGTGGGAGAGACGCGTGGACAGAGACGTTTACTCTCGGACTTCTCCGTCAGCCAGGACACCAGAGGGCGTAGCGCTATTCTGAGGCATCCTGCCGCCATAATGTATCCGAGCCACGACAGTGTATTTACATATGTGTTTGCATTGCTTTAATGTATTTCAGGGACTTTTTAACACGGACAAAATTGTCCTTCACTCTCCTCCACCTCTTTATGCGGTCGCCACCTCCAAACCCACGTTTCTCGTCTTTTCTGACCACGAATAAAATGCTTGCTGCATATCTTTGTACTCCTTCAGCCACGGGTGAATGAACATTGTCAGACTTTTTCCGAGGTGGGTTTATCAGCCTGTTCTGTGTTTGCCGCTAAATATCTTTTTACTTTTTGAGGGGGAAAAGGCAGAGCTGTTGACACATTTACAGAAAGCATCGTCCTGAACCATTACAAGCTTGCGGCCTCCGTCACGTTCAACAAATAGTTCAAAATTTGGGATGTCTCCGTCACCGTCTGCGAGCCCGTCGGAGAGCTCTTGCGCCGATGCATAATGGCGTTGCGTGTGTCCGTGTCGACGCAGATGGTTAAGTATGAATCAGGCTTAATACCTGCTGCAATTAGCGGCCGGTTATACAGATATTAATTATTGATGGTATTATTACCGGAGACATATTCCTTGTAATTATTTTTAATTGCCACTTTAAAAACTGCAAAACTGAGTACTAAGTACTTTTAGTTATTGAGCTCAACTGAGAAACTGAATTTTCCTGCAAACACAAAGTATTTAAGAGACGATGTCTTTTATTCTAATTATGGATATTACAAAGGGCTGCGTCCTCTAAAACTGCAGGGGTGATGTGTTACTTCGACTTGTCGCATCAGTCTTTCCACACGGTTTACATTTTACTTTAGTTTTCATCAACATCAGCCTTGCTGAATCCAAAATGGTGGCAAACTATTGATTTTGGGGGTAAAAAGCGATTCCTATCGCTGCCAGCGCTCTCGCCGTCTTTCCCGTCTTGTCACAGATTGGATGGGGCGGAGTCAAATGACTGCATCCCGTCCCGTCCATAGTACAGCATAAACATCGCCAACCTACACACATCTTTTTACTCTTTTGAAACCACATCAAGTCATTAAAATCACGTCTGTATACTTTAGGTTCATCGCACACCTTAATCCCACTGAGGACCTGTGATCAACCGCCCAGAGACAGACGGACGATCGCATGAACAACGAGCTCCACCAGTCAGGATCTAGACCAGAAGATGACTGAAACTCCTCGTAGTGAATCCACATAAAGTTTTGCCTTTTTGAATTCCTCTCCCTGAAGCACTGCACACCTTATGGAGGTGAGCGTGTCAGAGGCTCTCCGACTGTCCTGGACACACGTGGCATGATTTATGAGAAGGTTTCAACCTTGGCGTGAAGATGGACAGTGCATTCTGCATGGATGCTCATGTGGGTACTGCAGTATCCGCCTCATTTTATCATTTAAGACGTTTGGCTGAAGTAAAGCCGTTTTAATCTAGACGTGACCTTGAGACAGTTGTTCATGCTTTTATTACCTCACGACTCGACTATTGCAATTCCGTTTTATTTGGTGTAAGTAAGGTTACTGTAACCCGGCTGCAGCTTGTCCAGAATGCTGCAGCAAGACTCTTGGACAACACAAGGAAGCACGAACACGTGACACCCATTTTGGCTGCTCTCCACTGGTTTTAATGGTGTTTAAGGCACTGAGTGGTGTGGCTCCAGCCTATTTGGCGGAGTTGCTGCAGCCACATGTTCCGGCCCGGTCACTCCGCTCTGAGAACCAGCTGCTGCTTGTGGCTCCTAAGGCCAGGTTTAAGTTGAGAGGGGACAGGGCGTTCTCTGTTGCGGGTCCGAAACTGTGGAACGCCCTGCCCCTAACCATTAGGGGCTCTCCATCAGTAGCAGTTTTTAAAACGAGGCTGAAAACCTACTTTTATGATCTGGCTTTTAATTCTGTGGGTTAGCAATTGCTAATGTTTTATATTTTGTAATTCTCATTTGTGGTTTTAATTAGGTCTGTGGCGCTATACGTTTTATTGTTTTACTCTTTTGTTGTACAGCACCTTGGTGGCATGCTCATGCCTGTAAGGTGCTTTATAAATAAAGACCGAGTTGGGTAATGAAAATGGACTCATTCTCCATCAGTCGGATGTTAAACTGAAAACTGATGTGGTGTCTTTTTGCAGTCGGCTCTCACAGCTCTGAATCGAGATTATCTAAAGCTCAGCAGGAGTTTCTAAAACCGTAGCCAGGCTCCACGCATCTTCAAGGCCCTGGATCCAACAGCCAAGCAGCAAAAACAATGCTTTGACTTCTCTTCGTGTACACAGTCAGGATGACATTTCCCCATGAGCCACGGGAACTATCTGAGCCGATAACGCGTTACAATCATTTAAAAACATCAGGCAGGTCACTCTCTCACTAGACACACACAGTAAGAATTCACAACATACTCACAGAACTGATGGTTTGTAAAAACCAAGAGCAACAGCTCCCACTTAAATGAGAAACCTCCCGACTGCCTGTGTGAGACGTTGTCAGGGTCCATTGTCCTTACCTGGCTGCACAGGTGTTGTCCCAGACCAGGCCTGCAGGAGGTGCTCTGGTAGATGACTGGCTGTTGGGAGCTCAACGCGGTGTAGCCCTCAGTGGCGTACTCTTCATACCGGGCATTGATGACCAGCCGGCACACCTTGACAAGGCCGTCCCTGTCGTCCTCATGGAAGCAGGCGGAGCCATTCTCATACCTGTACGTCCAACAGGTGATCAGAGAGGAACATGGCGAGCTCACAAACAGTGAAGTAGAATCAGAGATATTAAAAATGTCCAGTAATGTCAAATGTTCATTCATATTAAAAATAGTCCTCTGTTAAATTTGAACTAGAATAAATGCAAATAATAATAATAATAATAATAATAATAATAATAATAATAATGCATTGAACTTATATAGCGCTTTTCTAGACCCCCAAAGACGCTTTCACACACTCTCATATTCACACACTGCTAGTGATGGTAAGCTACTTGTAGCCACAGCCGCCCTGGGGAGGTCTGACAGAGGCGAGGCTGCCATTTGGCGCCGTCGGCCCCTCTGACCACCACTAACACAGGCAAGTAGGGTGAAGTGTCTTGCCCAAGGACACAACAGCAGGATACCCCTGGCGGGAGCTGGAATCGAACCCAGTACAGACCCTTCTCTCTTTCGCTCCCTTATCTTTTTTTCCCAAGGCTCTTTGTCCTGTCTGCCCACAGAGCGCTTCTCTGCATTTCTTCTGAAAAACTATTTTTAACCATTTGATAAATTGGTCATTCAACGCGATCGATAAGATTTTTTCAACAATGAGAACAGAGCAGGGGGCTCCCACATGTCCACAGGGGACACACCCGGTGAGACATATGCTGGATTCCTGAAGGAACGGAAGATCATATGCCTCTCCCAGCTGTCCATTGAGGATGTTGAAGACGTGTGGATATTCGGCCTGATGATCCCTGGATTTCTCCTGATTGGAGTGGGAGGATATCTGGTTTTCTGGAAATTTGGGAAGACGGGAGCGAATGGAGAGCGACCCGCACCCATGGAAAGCACCGTCCGTGTGGAGACTTCTCAGACTGGGACGTTACTCGAAGTGAATCGTAAGCTGGACAATGTCCTAGCTGCGATACCGATATTAGTGCGCAAAATAGATGTCATCTCAGAGAGAGTCACTGGACGGTATGGACAAGTTTAAAAACCCAAAATTGGCTTCACTGAAGGACTGGAAATGATCAGTTTAAAGACTGAAGGCAGAGAGGAAAATTATCTCAGCCTGACCCAAACAAAGTCTTGTTATCTGAATCTGACGCCCTGGTAGCCTTGAGTGGCTAAACCCCACCCCCCCCACCCCCCCCACCCCCCCACGAAGGAATGCAGACAGATGCTGTGAAGTGTCTTTTTTTCCTCCACCTGAACCAATCCTCATGTAACCCTCTTATCTCTATTAAGGCAGCGCGACTCGGGTTGCGAATGACCACAGTCACCAATTCTTGTCATGTGTCTTGCCCATGTATGTCTGATCTCTGAATTGTGAGTACTGAAACTTTCATTTCTCTCTGGGATTAATAATGTATTGATTGATTGATTGATTGAATATGAATTAGCTTCATCCTCTGAACTTTTGACCACACGTACAATTCCTGTTCCAGTAGGCGATTCAGCTCTTGCTGCACCGAATCGATCCAAGTGGAACAGCTGCTCTACATGTTTGTACCTGAAAATCCGGCAGAGCCACAGCGTAGTGTCCGACTGAATCCGGGTGGTCAGCTTCCGGAGTCGATCTCTGTTCAGCACGGAGATGTAGGCTGCAAGGCTGTGACCCAGTAAGGCCATGTGACCCTGTTCCCCCACGTTCTGCATCCGGCTGGAAACACCAAACATCACACTTCACACAGAGGACTGTCCAGCTCTTCACTTCCGTTGAACTCATGGCTACTCAAACAGCCACCCAAACACCTTACATCGGTTCATATTCATGTAAGATTACAAACAACAGAAATCCCAGCAGCGCTCGACTTCACACAAACAGAATAAAACATCACTCTAAATAAAGACCGAATATGATTTTCTTTATTAGAAAAAGCCTAAATAAAAATACTATTCAATAGCAAAAAAAAAGTTATGAAATCTTACTGCTGGACAGGTTTCTCGTCCTCCTCTTCCTCCTCTTCATGAATGAGGTTGTGAACCAGGTGGAGTATTGAGGTAACGTCCTGGCCGCTGTAGGGGTAAGAGAGGAATCAGCTTCAGCTCAAAAGCAAATTCAGCTCACGGCCCACAGGCTCTAGCTGCTCTGGCTGGAGGAGCTGGAGCAGAGATGTTCTGTTCAGATGGTGTAGAGCTTTAACCAGAACCATTACCAACACCGGATTAGAGAACACATGACCGCAGGGGACTACTCCTAGACATACAACAGATGCACGCATGCATTTAGAAAGATCACCTTCACTCATACTTTAACGCCTCTGTAGTGGTCTCTAGCAGGAATGAATGCCTAGGGAGTTGTAATCTGGGGAAAAAAAGCTGCGGTGCAACTGCTTCAGGAACCAGAAGTGAGCCAGATCAGAGGAGAGCTTCATACAGCAGGACCTGGAGTCTGGTGTTTAGACATCTCTCCTCTGATTGGCTAACAGCAACACAACTACCACTGACTCGGTTTGCTCTACAACATAGATGTTTTATCTCCACAATGAACACAAGTCTGGAGGAGTTCTGCTATGTGGTGGAGTTGCTAATGCTAACTGTTAGCTTCTACTAGCCGAGACATTCTCTGCTGTTTCCTGGACGCTAAACCAACAACATCCACGGACTGGTAACCTGTTCAGGGTTTTACCCCACCTGTTTGCCCCTAAGACTGCTGGAGACAGGCACCAGCCCCCCTCGACCCACCGTGAATAAGCGGGTACAGTAAATGGGTGGAGACCAGTGGCGGCTGGCCAGTAGAGGGCGATAGGGCACCGCCCTCCCAGTTTTTCCGTGTTTTTAATTTTTATTTAAAAAAAATAAATAAATAAAATTAACAATAATCACATATTCTAAGCTAATTGTGTGTTTTGTAACAAAATAAATCATATATATATCTATATTGGTCTCTGCCGGTCTCTGCCGAGCGGTGGAGGCTGTAGGCTGCTTTTGAATCGCCCAAACAGGACGAGACCAGCTGTCCAATTGCTGACAAGAATATCAAAGGGTAGGAATGGGAATGTATCCAATCAGCATCGACGTTGTTTCAGAACGTTTCAGTAGCATGATGGGCGATAGAGCTACCGCCAAAGGTTTCGTTGGTGTTCGGTAGAACTCGGCAGAGTCGTTTTTGGTCGTGACGCAGATGTAACATGGACGCCGCCGGTGACTACAACCAGCATGGATACCGGATCTCAGCAGCCACTGAATTCAGTTCGGTCTCCTCCAGTATCCGTTCCAGAGGAGAACTATGGTGGAAAAACTTAATGTCAAAGAGCTTGGACCAGATCAGCCCGACGTAAAGAAAAGCCAGCAGGAGAAGGAGAGAGGTAAACTGTACACACGACGCTTCTCCCGAAATTGGTACACCAGGAAGGCTTGGCTAGCTGGATGCAATCACGCTAATGCGTTATTTTGCTTTCCGTGTTTGTTATTCAAAACGGCTGGGACAGATAAGGGATGGATGAGTCAGGAGTTACAGACATGAAACATTTTTCTGAGAAGGGGAAGAAACACGAGTCATCCCGGGCACACATGGACAACAACACGGTGAAGCTAGCCATGCTAGGCAGCAGAGCTAACGTTGCCATGCAGGGAACAGCAGCAGCTGGGTGCAGAGGTAAGCTGTACATTACATTTCTGTGAACAAGACAATAAGAATCAGAAATCCTTGGTTGTCCCACAAACCGGGACATTTGTTTAATAACATGTTTAATGTGCAATAACTGTAAAAACTAATTTCAACACACATACTTATTATACATATTTAATCACGTAAATGTATATTTCATGTAAATTTGTACATACATCAATCTGATTCCATTTTACTTGTTACACTTCTGCTGCAGCAAACAAATTTCCCAGCTTTTGGGACAATAAAACATTTCTGATTCTCAATTAGATGTTTTTACCTCAAATGTAAAAACATCTGATTGAGAATCAGAAATGTTTTATTGTCCCAAAAACTGGGAAATATGACATTTGTAAGAGGATACTGATGACATTATTTCCTATGAAAGTGTTTCCTATGTACTTATCTGTTGTTTTTTATTTATCATATGACAGGTTTTTCACACCATCCTGAGCCATGCAAAAGAAGATTCTTGTCACCATACCCATGACCACAGCCGAATCAGAAAGGTGCTTTTCTACTTTAAAGAGGATTAAGACTTTCCTTGAGGAACACCATGACACAGGATGGGCTGAATGCTCTTGCCATGCTCTCCATGGAAAAAAAGCTTGTCACAAACATTCCTGACTTCAATAAAAAGCTCATCGAGAGCTTTGCCACTCAGAAGGACAGAAGGGCAAAATTTCTGTACAAATGAGGTATCACACACACACACACACACACACACAAATGCATCCACTTGATCTTGTATAAAGTTGACCTTGGCACAACACTCCAGAAATATTTAACAGTGTAAATTTCTGGCATTTTGTCTAAGTAGTGTTTACTACCATTACTGTAACAGTGACCTGCTCATAATTTTTCGTGTTCACTCAAATGTTGAAATTAAACAAAATGTTTTTGTTACTTGCCTCTTGCATTGCCTATTTACCATTTATGGTCGTGTTATTTTATGTGCAATTTAATGCAGTATTTTTCAACCTTGGTCTGCAAGGCAGCGTGCCAATAGTCAGACACACCTGGATTAATCAGTTTGTCCAATGATGTAAGACAGGAAATAAAAGAGCTGTGCTTAATTCAGGAAATAGTGAAGTTGTGCACAAAGCTCAGAAAGCACAAGTTTGTTTAAAAATAAAAAAATAGCACAGCCCCACCAAAAATATTTTTCACCAGCCGCCACTGGTGGAGACTTATGGTAATCATTCGGTTTCCAGTCTGGTTTTTGTTTATTTCTATTTCAGATTTATTCTTGATTGGCTTTATATTCCACTGTGACACGGACCCTCTGTCCTCCACACCTGGTTTAGCTTTACCTGGTTTCACATAGAAGCTGCAACACTCAAGGCGTCATGACGACAGGAGTGAGTGATATAACAAAACATTTCAATATCACAATCAAATTATATTCTGACATCATGCAGCTCGTGTGTGTGTGTGTGTGTGTGTGTGTGTGTGTGTGTGTGTGTGGGTGTGGGTGTGTGTGTTTCTTACTCTCCCTGCAGGGGTCCAGGGATGATGATGTTTCTAACGGACAGTTGCCTTTCCATTCCTACATCTGGCTCCCTACACAGAAGCACAAACACCAACCACATCAGTTACAAGAGAAGACATCCATGCAGGGTTGGGCATCGAGCATCGATTGGAACCGGGACCAACTGTTAGTTTTTCCCAGAATCGTTCAAAGTTTTTTATTTTGGTTCCTAGAATGCTGACGGAAGAGGAATCCGCGGCCGATCTCCGTGAAAAATAAACGTGATCTGCAAATTGTGATCAACGCTTTTCAGAGCTGATCACACCAGCTGTCTGTGTGCAGCACCGCCCCCCCCTCCCCCCACCCAGATATAAACAAACGCGTCTGCCGACCTTTTACTCCGTAACATAAACTTTAACTCCTGTTTTTCTCACTAAAATGGAGAGCATATCTAGATGCATCTACCCAGCATATTCACTGACCATTCCTAACAGAACCATTAAAAAGATCAACCAAGTTAACTTTGACTATATTTGGAAAAACAAAATGCGCTACATTAAGAGAGCAGAAATGACCAAAGAATATAAAGATGGTGGACTACAAGCTATTGACTTTGAGATCATGGATGGAACACTGAAAATTAACTGGTTAAAATCCTCCTTTAATAATAAAATCTTCTGGTATCATATCCCGGGGAAATCTTCAAAAGGTTTGGAGGCATTGGCCTTTTGTTAAAATGCGATTTCAATATAAAAAAAATTCCGATTAAATTATCCCGGTTCCATCAGCAAGTCCTTTTATATTGGAAACTTTTACACAATCATAATTTCACTCCACACAACACGCCAATTTGGAATAATAGATATATTACAATTAAAAATAAGTCATTATATAAAAGGACTGGATGGACAAAGGCATTTGGTCCCTAATTCATTTGACTGATAAAGATGGGCGTGTGATGACCCATGAGAATTTCTGTCATAAATATAATATCACAGTTGATCAGAATTAATTCGCTTCCACAATAAGAGCCATCCCTATTCCTACATTAAATCTAATTCAAGAAAATGTTTCGAACTCTCATTCAGTCTCCCCTACTCTTCCTCATCTAGTAGTTGGGAACTTCGACTTCAAGAGTGTTAAAACTCTTAATAAAACAATTAGAAAATGCTTGACACCCTTCACTGCCTTTCAGAAATTCCATTAAACAAATTTTCTCCATAGATATTATATACTCATTACGCTCCAACTACCTCAAATTTCCTATAACTCCAGAAGCCAAAGAAATCCATTATAGAGTTTTAAATGACGTGTACCCAACTGGGGAATTCTTACGACAGAGATGTGGTTTTGAAACAAACAAGTGTGTATTTTGTGATGCTATAGAAACCTCTGTTCATGTATTTTTTCAATGTATTTACTCTGAAGCTCTCTGGAATGATATCCATGAGTGGCGATACACAAAGATACGTATTGAACCATTTTCTGAGAACGATGTCATTTACGGAGCCATGTTAGATAACACTGAATGGGACTTTCTGATAAATAACATAATCACTGTAGCCAAATTTTACATTCACAAATGTAGATATGGAAATGTGAAGCCTAGATTCTATGCATTTCATAACGAGTGTCTTTCTTTCTCCAAAGCCCTTAACTTTACAAACAGTAAACATGCAATGAAACTCCTTAATCTTTTTGAAAAGTATGATTTGAAAACAAAGCCCTAGCTCTTTTGTCTTTTTTTGTTGGTTTGTTGGTTTCTTTCACAAATATTTTCTATGCAAAGTCTCTTTTGTTATTCTTCGCACCTGATCCTTGGGAATGTCAAACAAAGGAATTTACGGTATGCCATGTTGTTTGTAAATGAAAAAGTTCAAAAAAAAAAAAAAAACAATTTTAACTCCTGCAGCGTAGAGGAAACTTGTTAAATACGTCAACACGGTGGATTTAATAGAAGCTTTAAAGAACAAACTCTGGACGTGTGAGGTGAGTTTGTCTCACCGCAGAAATAAAAACACACACGGAGCGTCAGCAGTCAGACGCAGACGCTCACCAACACTCGTGTGTGTGTGTGTGTGTGTGTGTGTGTGTGTGTGTGTGTGTGTGTGTGTGTGTGTGTCAGAAGGCTGAACAATAACCTGTAGGATAATTAAAGTCATCATGCTAGAGCAGCTTCTCTGTGGTGGACCACACCAGCTTCTGCCACAATAAATAATAATAATAATAATAATAAATCACACACAAAGTTGTGAACTTTTTAATTTCCTTTCTGAACCATTTCTGTTGAGAGTTTTAATGTTTAAATGTGTTAGCTTGTTACTGACAGCAGCTACGTTTAAGTTTCACTTCCTGTTCTGACTGAATGCTGCTGCAGCATGGAGGTGTAGTTCTCAGTCATCCTGGACATGATCATCCTGAGAGTTTTAGCTGGAAACAGCTGGACGTTTCTGGATATGTTGGAGACATTTAGCCTCTCATCCCAGAGGCTTCTTCCACACTTTGGTTGTGGTCAGAAACAAACACACTGGTTGTGCTGCAAGTCTTTTTCTTTTTTTTCTCCAAAACATGTTTGTGTCTAAATGAAGGTGATGTTGTTGTTCATAGAGTTAAAATTCATGTTGAAGTTAAAATTATTTCATCCAGTAGGACCTGTGGTTAGCTGGCTCATGTAAAACATGTCACGTCTTGAAAGAATCGGAATCGATGGGAACCAGACTTGAAACGAGGAATTGGAATCGTTCAAAATCAAACGGTGCCCAACCCTGTCCATGCATTCCTGTGGCGACTAGACATTCTGTCAGACATTATCCCACAAACTGAAAATAACATTAACCAGTAATGGTTCCTGAAAGAGCCAAAGCTAAAGCTGAGTGGTCAGTTTCTTACCCATCTTCCAGAATCTTCATGGCCTCTCTCAGGTTCTTACCCACCTGAGCCAGTGTGGAATCCTCCATCATCAGGGACAAGTGTTTTCTGGAACACAGTCATGGAGCCCGGATTTACACACATTCACACTCAAGACAGCTCTGTGACATGCCCCCCAGCCGTGTTAACACACATGTGTATGCTCCAGAGCAGCATAGTGACTTCCTCTTACAGAGGAGCTGAGCTACACCTGATCCTGTCCAGGACGGAGCTGCCTACGGCCCTGCTGCTCCAGAGACAGAAGCTCTCCTCATTGTGGGTAAATTAGCTGCAGCTTCTCACTCCTCCTGAGAAATCAGAGACTACACCTGACCTCGTGTCTCCAGACAGCTGAGAGCAGCTGTCTGTGTGTGTGTGAGAGGACTCAGACAGCTGCTACCGAACCGAACCAGCTACCAGACAATAATCACAGTCGTGCTTACCTGTAGATGGAGCGCACACACCTGAGAGGTGAACAGGTCTGGAATCTGCTGTAGGAGGTTGTCTAAACGACCCTCAGGATCTTCAGCTGCTTTAGTTTCTAGGTTTATCAGCTGTTTCCGGCTAAACCTGCCACTAACCCGGACAGCCTACTTCCTGCTGGACCTGCCGAGCGACGTGCCGTCGTTCCACGCTGGCAGCGCTGACGTCATTCCAAATGGACCAGTCGGGACGCAGCTGACAGCCAGCTGAGCAGAAACACGGAACTAGTGTGTTTGTTGTTATAACACGTACTGTTAATAATAGTTATCAGCACAATAAAATCACGTTTTCTACATGTTATAATGTTAGCTTCTGGTCACCTTTACATCTATCTCCTTTTTTCTTATGATCCTCAAGAGCCGCCTGTTCACACATCCGGTCAGCCGCTAAAAGGGGCGTTTTGGTTTGTAAACGGGAACGCCCCCTCCACAACGGGAACGCCCCCTTCTTCTTATTCGCTCCTGAAATGTTACTTCACCTCCGATGTTTCAAAACAAGATATTTTCTCCGCTCATATATCTGTTCTCCGTCTTTTTAAATCCTTATTGATCATCTGTGCTCACCCTGCCCTTTCATTCTGTGTTGCTGGATCCACGTGAGCGCGCTCCACACTCTCCGAACCCGAACCTGCGTTTAGTCCCGCCCCCTGCTTTATCCACAGTTCGAGTTGAGCAGCGCCTCGCCTGGAAAACAGACGAGAGCAGACGGAAGCAGCAGGGGGAGTGGCTGAAAGCCGGCGTTTTAAGTCGGACAGATTTCCCTACATGTGTAGCTCACGGGCGATGATGGACGACGATATCGCGTTGGAGTTCATACTAGTTTAATTTTCAGTTTTAATTCTGGTGCCTGTTAGCAGCTGAAACACATCCTCACGTGCTTGTGGATATCATATATTGTATATGGAGACATGACTGTAATAATAAGTAAAGGTTATCAGCTGTAGGTTCAGTGTGTTCATAGGAAACGTGACAAAAGAACACAAAACACATTTCTCTTTATGGCCTATATAGTTGTCATCATCAATGTTACATGACTTCCGGAATACATGTGAACAACTAACATTTCATGTTCTACCACCAGATGTTTGGATCAAAATATGAACCAATCAGATCTTAGATCAGGTGAGAGCCAGGCGTTTCCCATCATCCTCTAGGTTTTGCAGGCGGTGAAAAGCAACTGCAGCGCCGTGCTCCAAAATTTGTTGCCATTTTTGAGGTGTTTATGAATGTGGAAGAGACCCAGCATCCTGTGATGGGACTAATAACATCAAGATATAGTAAATAAAGTAATATTTAGGTAAATGTAACCCTTTACACGTGACCAGGACACTGTAATCAATTTTTGGCAAGGGAAATATCTTCTTTTTTTGCCATTTTTGGGGTGTTTATGATGATACAGTAGACAGTATGAGTACAGTAACATCAACAGATAATACATAAAACCCTTATTTGGTCAATTTTAGCCTCCGTGAAAATCTGAGCGATTCAATCACTTTTTGGCAAGTAAAACGCCATTTTAGTTGTCTACAATTAAATCATCAATAAAGAATTTAAAGATATTTTGAGGCATTTCTTATAGGTAAACGGGAGGGTGTAGTCTATTTGGCAAGTGACAATCTTAATTTTATGTGCTGATGTGCTTTTATCTTGTTACTTTTAAATAGAGCAACGTAATGTATAGATAGTAACCTACACAGTGTCATTAAAGCCAAAGCTTGATCAGTTTAAATACTATTTTTCAAGTAAAAATGTACCCCAAACTAACTGTGGCTCCATGTCAAGTGGACTAAAGAATAAAGGAAGGGGGAAAAAATCAAATCACTGGAGAATTGTTTATTTACATTTATACGACGTTTACATTCAATACAGGGTGCCATTTTACATTGTTTATTTATTTTTTGTATCAAGGCTGTAACATAAAGAAAGCCAGTTCTTACCACAAACCATCTTTCAATCGCAAATATTGCAAAAAGGATTAATATATGCTCATTGTGAACGTTTAAGACAATTAGCAACACTTAAAACAACTTCCGAACTGGAAAAACTAATATCCGCTATAAACATCTGTTTAAGAGGTTATCTCTGCTTTCTGAATGTCCATATTGCTAGATATGCTGAGTTTTAGGGCGAAATCCTGGGGAATTTCGTCTAGAAATGCAATTACCTAACCGTGCGCGATCCCGCGGTGGCTAATCAGTTTTTGGCAGCGAGTCGATTTATGGCACAACACCTGTTTTGTTGTCCATATGTTCCCCCCTCGAGATCTGTTTCTTTTGCCCCCAGATGCAAGTGGAAATGACCCAATAGCAAAAAATTAACCCTCACCCCAACCATAACCACCCTGTCACCAAAAATGTATGTTTTGCATAAATATAAATTTAAAAATATTACGTGTAGCACAATTTTTATGTTTGTTTCACGGTTATGGTTAGGGTAAGGGTTGGGTTAGGACCATAGACTGTAAATGGGTTAGGACACATGTTTTGCAAGTGGATGGTTCAAACTCGCAGCTGGGTGCAAAAGAAACAGATCTCGAGGGGGGAACACATATCGACTTATCACCGGAATAAAGATCCGAAACAGAAAGAAAACGTTGGAGTCATTATCAAAATATCAACAACATTATTTTGCCGTGGCGGTGTGACACGATCAATTAGTGTAGACTTTTATTTTGACAAACGTAGAGAAAAATAACGTATTTTGATACCCATTCTGATTGGTTAGTGAGAAGCTACAGCAACGTTTCTGTAGCCAAAAAAGAAACGCCCCTCGGCTGACTCAACCCTGCTGGGTCACACAGCATCATGGAGAAAAGCTGCGGTCCTACAGCACCAGCTGGTGGTTCGATCGGCTCGGTTGCACAAGAAAAAAGTTTAAGACCACTGTAGGACAACCAGAATCCAATCTGCGTAGCTGGGTCCTAACAAGGTTCCAATTAGAGCTTCAACATGCAACAAGAAAACATGGGAGTGAGACAAATCCCTTTCTGAGCAACAATTCATTGAAAACAACACACACACACACACACACACACACACACACATATATATATATATATATATATATATATACACGGTATATATATATATATATATATATATATATATATATATATATATATATATATATATATATATATATATATGTAGGGTATAGCCAAGCTCCTTCTTCGTCTTCTTATGATTCGATTCCATTGAACAAAGGATCTTCGGCCAGCTATCGTGATTAATTATTCCTCTCAGCATATTTGTTCAGCAGCACATCAGAACGGTCTGGGTTCTGTAACTCTAGACAGCTACTCCATCAATGGGTGAATAGTCTGATTCAGTCCAGCAAAGCAGAAGCAGAGGGTGTGTGTGTGTGTGTGTGTGTGTGTGTGTGTTGTGTGTGTGTGTGTGTGTTCTTGTCTTTATGGGTTTGTGTGGACCAACCCCTGACGGGAGACCAACATTGTGTGGACATTCACCATTGTGTGGACATTTACCCGGTCCACACAACCAAAACCCTAGAGGAAGCTTCCTTTGTCCTTATAAGTGTTCTGACTAATTTTCACAATATGACCCCATAGAGATGTTAATCCCTGAAAAGTGTGTGAACTGCTCTGCTCTTGAGTGTCCCTGGTGGACACACTCCAGTACTGCAGCTAAAACATTTCTTTCACAGTTGATTTTTTTGATTGGTTGGTGGAGGGAATTTTCTGATTGGCTGTGTGGACTGCTCTTGAGTCACTCTAGTGGACGCTCTCAGTACTGCAGCTAAAATATGTATTTGGCAGTATTTTTTTTATTTGTCTATGATGGTAATTTTCTAATTAACTAATGGTTGGATTTTCTTGGTGGCTGTTCCTTTCATGTTGGAATATAAGCAGGAAGTTGATTAGGAAAATATGCACAACTAAGTTCTTCAGTTTATTTTAAATATAACATGTAGTTCTTGAAAACAAAAATTAAATAGATGATTTTTGATTATATAAATGATTGAAAATAATGAATACATTTACAACTTAATTATTGTTTTTGCTACTTTTTCAATGTGAATATTTTTCAAAGCCTTTTAATAGTTTTTTTGTTGTTTTATTGTTACTTTTAAAGTTGTGGAGTAGAGGCTGACACATTTTTGGGATCCCAGTGGATCACATGAGGCCTGCAGGATTCCCGTGAAATGGGAGTCAAGTTATTTATAGTCACGTTATTGGGACAAAGCAGGAAAAATAATCATCAAGAGTGGGCAAGATTAGGAATAAAATTAATTTTGTTTCCCGTTCAATATGAAATGAGTTTCTTTTAAAATAATGTGTCGTTTTAATTTATATTTAGTTTTGTCTGACCCCAATCAACTAAAATTAATAACTGAAAATACAAAAACACTTCTAAAGCATTCCAGAGACTTAAATGGTCTTTCTATCTAAACTACCGAATAACTCCTGGGCGCAGCCAACGCTCCACTTCCTGGGGATGGGTCAAATACAGAGATGAATTTCATCATTGTGTGATGATGACTATTGAACTTTAACTTTAATTACAGAAATAAATGCATTATTGCATCGTATTCTAAGTTTTCCAGTTTCACTTGTTTGTATAATTTGGAGTTTTTATTGGCATTTCTATTATTCATAATCTAGTAACAGCTTATCTATGAATAAAAATCCTTAAAACTGACACTAGAACAGGCACAAATGGCCTATTTGAGACCACATGGCAAAAAATGCAGGAAAACTGCTCACATTGCCCAAACGGACCCTTCGCACATTCCAACAGGCACAGATTTGACGTGTTTGGTTTGGGCCAGAACCAGGATGCACTAAAAAAAGTTTTGTGCGCCTCAGATAAACGTAAGCCGAACAGCAGCCAAAAAGGGGGTCAAATCTAGTTAAGGCTCCATTTCGGGCCTTTAGCTCTAGCATGTAGGGATTTTTTGACCTACCTTCCATCGTACAATTAAGATGAAATGTGGTGAGCACTTACAACTTATCAGTAGCGACTCTCACCAATATTTCCAGATTTTTGTCTTATTCAGGGGTCGATCTATTACCTGAAAAATGCCTAAAAATTAATTTTGGCCTACGTTTCTGTCTTTTATGTTTATGTTTATTTATTTGGGAGACGCTTTTACCCAAAGCGACTTACAATTTATAACCTATAGGGCATGTTGTGATCTGTGGGGGAAACCGGAGTACCCGGAGGAAACCCACGCATGCATGGGGAGAACACGCAACTCCACGCAGAAAGGCCGCAGCCGAGCCGAGTTTCGAACCTGCAACCTTCGTGCTGCGAGGCAACAGTGCTAACCACCGCGCCACCATGCAGCCCAAGATAAGCTGTTACTAGATTTTGGGGGGGCTATATCTTGGAAACCACAA